TTTCAAGTCATTTTTCATCATATTTATTATTCTCCTATGGTTTAAGCTTGTCTTTCTTTAGGTTTTGTTGATACTGAAGAATTGTCAAAGCCCCGTTCACCTCCACGATCATTATCTCACTCCACGGACACGTGTTCCGTAGTGCGGCTCACGAGACGGTACGGGACACACGTGGCGCTGAGAGAACTCACACTGGGTCTACCACCAGGACAGGTATAAACTAAATTACACACGAAGCTCACCACATAAGTAACACATTTGCCTTTATTAGTCCTCAAGTGTACTTGGAGGACTTTTAGAATACGTTCAGAGGTCTTATTATATTAGCGTTTCCGAGAGATGGGCTACAGAATCGGTCTTGAAACTATATAGAGAGGAATAAGATATCAAATGACAACCTTCCGACATTTACATTTATGTACATTAGTACACAGTTAAATAGAAAATATTGTTGACCCTGATTATACTTGCTCATGTCTATTTTAATCCTATTTTTAATTTCACTAAAATACATATAACTGTCTAGAAGAGATCGCTATATAACAAGAAAAGTGTATAAGCTACAATAAAAGTACAATTTTCCGTATTATATTTGCAATGTGAGCAGTATACATTTGTTTTTGTTCCTAGTGCACAGTTCTGTTAGGAGAAAACGGTGCGGGCAAGTCCACAACCTTCTCCATACTGACCGGAGAGTTGAAGCCTACTTCCGGGGAAGTATACCTACAAGGACGAAGAGTTTCTACCAGAGACCTCTGTCAAGGACTCATTAGTGAGTTACATGATCTATCCCATGACATTGCTTACAATTTTGATACCATATGAATCTCGTTTGTTACTGCTTGCTATCTATGAATAGATTATGAAAAAAGAAATAAAGTACAATAACATCCCTTCATATTCTATCACTTCAATTCAATTTATCACGTTTCAGGTTACTGTCCACAAAGTGATGCCGTCGATCCTTTACTAACTGTTCGGGAAACATTATACGTATTCTGCCAAATAAGAGGAATCAAGAATATAAATCAGGTAACATAGAATGGATGATATTGTTTTGCTCCATCACTAAGGCCAAATAATTTGCGGATCTTCATGGGCGACGGTACTAACCCTATGAAGTAGGCCGTCGGTTCAGTTGCCCCCTTTAACATAAAAATAAGTGATGTCTAAGCAGGACATTTGTAATCTTCCCAAGTGTAGTACAGTTTCGTTTATTCATATTTCACACTTGTATATCTTCAGGTCATTTCTCGTACGTTGGATGCTTTCGAGTTGCGTCGTTATGAGAACGTCCGCGCGGGATCTCTTAGTGGAGGAACAAGACGCAAGCTGTGCACCGCGCTGGCCACTACAGCAAGAGCACCCTTACTACTGTTAGACGAACCCACCAGGTAAGAAATATATGTAGGAGACATCAATATATCAAATTCTGTTAATATACAGGGTGACTGGTGAATTACTATCAATATTTAAGGAGCATACTCGGTACATGATTCTCATTCGAATTATGTAAAAAAAATAGGCACTTAATTTTTGACAAAATTTCCGTATAAATAAATAAAGTGTTGACACGTTCCAAGTGTTCCAAGTGTGGACTCGTGCGGCGACGTGCTGATACAACACTACGCCCCGCGCGTATGTGTGAGTGTGAGTGTATACCTAATCTGTAGGGTGTTCATACGATGCGTAATTAATTACACAACTTTTGGTTAACTTTACTTAGAAGTTTATTAATATTTATGTTATATTAATTTTTATTTTGTCATATATGATCGTCAAATATCACGTCCTCAAGTATTGATAGTAATTCACCAGTCACCCTGTATATTCTTCTTCTAACTGGCAATTTCCCAGCTATAGCCCGGTTCTGCCTTATATGTTGCGAATAGTTTTGGCTATTAGTTTTTATCACCGGCCGCCTGTCTGACATGAACCCTCTTTTGGGAATCAGTATTAGTCAGTGATGTCTAAATACTCTTAGAAAGTACATATGACTCGGAAAAATCACATTGGTACTTGCCAGGGCCAGGATCGAACCCGCGCCCTCGGGCATGAGAGGCGAGCCTTTTAACCACTAGGCCACCACTGACTATATATATTATAGTTTAAATATCTTTTAACAGATTATTGTATATTGGATGTATTAACTTAATGTATTAACTTAATTAATTATTATTAACTTAATTAATTAATGTGGAGTATTAACTTTAGAATTAATCACACTGAAATCTACTCACATATAGTCACTATAAATCTGCATTGTCAAATACCACAATAAATTTCCTGTTTTTCATTCATATTAACTAAATCGATAGGTACCATTATATGCGAGAATATCTCATCTTTATATATTATTATATTCATTTATATTTATATGTATAATTGTTCATTTATGTTTAGTAGTATATATATTTATTTATATATGTATCAGTGTATATATAAGGATAACGCACCACCTACCTTTTCGCTGCACAATTTCCCCAAATCGAAGGTTGTCTGGTTGAAGAAATCGCTATTTAGCGATAAGACTGCCTCTTTGTACATTTTAATTTATTATTTTTGTTCCTTGTAAAATTTACTGTTTGTGGTGTACAATAAAGTATATTCTATTCTATCTTAATGAACCTGATTACTATGAGCTCATAATCTTCCTCAGCGGTATGGACCCATTGTCTCGTGCGTGTGTGTGGAGGTCTGTCCGTTCGTGGTGTGCGCCAGGGTCCACCTCCCGAGCCGCTCTTCTCTCAACACACGCACTAGATGACGCGAGGCGACTCGCCAGGAGAGTAGCTCTACTAAGACTTGGCGAGTTATGTGCTGTGGCACCACTAGAGGAATGTCTCAGAAGGTAGAATAATTTTGATTTGTGGTTGATATATAATATTAATAGGGTCTACATTAGGTATATGGAGATCACCGTGAATAAAATTGTTAGTAATAAAGTAAAGCGATAGGACAGGAATAGATTCCACTACTGTTTTATAAAATGAAACTAATATTTTTTAATGCCACTAAAACTATATAGGGTCTATATTAGGTATATGGAGATCGTCGTGAATGGAATTAATTATACTGCAAGTAAAACGATAATATGTTAGTACATGAATGTCTATTACTGTTTTATAAAATAAAACTGTAATAATTTTTAATACTACTAAAACTATAATAAAAAAAGAAATGATTTGAATTTTTTGATTTGTATTTCAAGGTATCTTAAGACTATATTAAGATAAAAATTGTTTTATAACGAGAAGAACAATGAAAATAACAAATCCAATCATTGTAATCTGTTTCCATAATTCCTCAATGAATGATCATATGCCTACATTTATCTCTGTACACTCTCCTGTCCTACATGTGAGAAGAGGCCTTTGCTCAGCAGTGGGTTCTGATAGGCTGATGATGATGATTCTCCTGTCCCAGGTTCGGTGGAGGTTACGTGGTGTCGTGTCGTGTCCGTGAAGGTTCTTCAATGTCGTCGTGGCGTCGTGTCGTCGCTCGTTGTCCTCTCGCCGTACTACGAGTTTCTTTGCCGACTGCATTACATTTCCTGTTGCCGCTACATTCCAGTGGTTAGAAGTTTATTTCAATTCATAAAGGTTTAAAAATATTCAACAGTCTATCACCATAAAAGAAGAAAGATATAATTTCCAATTTTCATGTCAAATTTTGATTTGTAACTACTTATCATAATTATATTAACCCATAAAACCACACGAAGTTAGTCCATTTCTCCGAGGATCAGAATATTAAGAGTAATTAGTAGGAACTTCTAACTTATAATTAATCTTTTTTCAGATATATATTCCTGTAGAATAAAATAATAACACGCTTATTTTTCTTATGTGATTTTCAAATCTGTTAATTCCATGTTTCAGTGGACGGTAAGGAGTCTGAGTTGTTCCTCAGCGACATCTTCCGTCTCATGAACGAACTACAGAAGAGCTGCGACATTGATGATTATACTGTCAACCAGAGCTCTCTAGACCAGGTAATAAACATTAGTCTTATCTAGATTATTAGTACTACATTAGTTAGTCTAGACTTCAAAAGCAGTCTAGACTAGTCTTAAGTACTTAATTCAATTTTGCTACCTTCTTACCTCACAGAAATATTGATTTGTTTTGACTAATTAACAGTCCATATAAAAATATGTTTAAGAGTATAGATTATATGTTTTTCAAGGATGTGCTGAAGAAAAATTTTTTTCTTTAACAGATGTTCCTAAGTTTCACGGATAAAAAGAGTATTGTAGAACAAGATGACGATCACTTCACGACTACGAGACGACGACGACACAGCGACGAGTTAGACTCAGTCACCGCCTTGTGATATTAGAATATAATAACATCAAATATATTGTTGGACTAAATGTTACAGATATGACGATAGTTGATCTATAGATTGACTTGAAGAACTACTAATGTCAATTTTATAATATTGGATTTTTTTTTTATATGTAAAAAGAAAATATTTGTCTTCCAACCATTTAACTACCCGCAGGCGGGAACAGAACCGTTGAATAATACATAAATAATTAATATCTTTGTTAGAATAATATATCTTCTTCTTCCTGGCAATTTCGCCAGCCTAAGCCAGGGTCTGCCCTGAATTTAGAATAATATTATATCCGTCCAAAAACACTATTATAATTAATGTCACAATTAAATATAAGGTTATGATTTTTTTTTTATATTTTGATATTGTACGAAGGTGGTATAAGTATGATGCCTCTGTGATATAATGATTATATTTTTTAATAAATAAAACGAACGGTAAGGTGTTTGGTAAACGTTTTTTAATTTTCAATTAAAGCATTCAGAGATCATCTTGTATACATGTAACACTATGTTATATTCAATATCCGACTACCCTTGATATTAAACTGTCTGAATGTGGGTAGATACATAAATAAAACGGTTTAATTTATATAACAATACTTATATATAAATACGTTTATATTTTCTACGAGTGTATATAATATAAAGGTTTCTAGACTAGTGCTGCCCGGCGGTCGTCGCTCGTCCCGCGAGCGCGTCCATCATTCTATATACAACATCTTTGAGTACAGACGCGTGTTGCATGCTGAGGACGCACGTACGGACACACACACGCGCGCGCTCCTCACTCAATATACACCACGCTGTTAGTAACAAAGACCAGATAAAATACTATAATATAAAGACAATAATTATGTAATAGTTGACGGCTGATTTATTATTATTGGTTATTTGCTTGTGGAGTATTTGATGAACAATCTATTTTAATTCTTTAGCTTCCTTTTTTCACTCAACACGGATCAGGCTGTTACCGCCAAACACCAGATGAAATATTAATAGTATAAAAACGATGTGTAATGAATAAAATATATTTATTAGTTTTCTGCATGTAGAAGCTTTAATGAACTTTAACGCTGGTTCCAATAATTATTGTACCTTTACTTTGATTTTGTAGTATAATCATACTTATCTCTATTTCTACATAATTATCGAAGCAATTACAGCTGGAATCACACTTTTGGTGCTATAAATGAAAGAAGCTACTCTCAGGTCCTATCGCTAATATCTTCTACATACTATTATTACCAAAAAAACTACTAAAACATCCAAAATAAATACATTAACGTAAAGAACTTTGATAGTGAGTGAGATTTATGTCAACAAGTGTGGTATAAGAACAGTATGTAATATAATGTTTTCACCTGGAATATTCTCCAGTATAATCTTGCAAGTTTCATCAACATCTAAGTCTCTGAGAGGTATTTCTTCTGTTTCGTTATTAGCTGCCAGCTGTTCGAAGTAAATGAACACCTGCTTCTTCAGCCAGTTCGACAAGTCATCTAGCCACGACGCTATTAGAGATTCCGCTATATCTGATTACGATAATATACATATATATATGTATGGAGAATGTCATTATTTTTTTACAAAGACGTTAATGAGCGTTAATTTATTTTAGACATATAATTTAAACATAACTGTATCAAAAAATATCGGTCTAAATAAAAGAAATACAAAAAAATATCGAAAACAAACAAGATCTATCTAATATGATCACATCAGAATATGGGTTTACTATTTCAATTTATTGTCACTCTATTTGGGTCCTACTGGTACAATATAAATATATGAAAGGAATTATTCTGGCTCATATATATTTTGCGTATATACTAACCGGCACATATCACAGCGGAGAGCCTGTAAGCGAGGTGTGAGGACAGCAGCCCCACAGACGTGGCTACCTCCAGCAGGCCTGCCCAGCGACTACCGTACACACACAGCCATTCCTCTAAAACAACATAATATATTATCAACATGACGACTAGCCTGAACTAGGAGATACGAGCCAATAATAATATATACTAATAGCTTTCCGCCCGCAGCTTCGCCCGCGTGGAGTTCGGTTACATCGCGTTTCCAAGAGAACCATTCAAGGTTCTGGGATAAAAACTATCCTATGTTCTTTCTCAAGGTCAACTCTATGTCTGTACTAAATTTCATTAAAATCAGTTCAGTGGTTTAGGCGTGAAAGCGTAACAGACCGACAGACAGACAGAGTTACTTTCGCATTAGTACATATTATTAGTAAGGACTAGATCATTTTCATCTATTTTCATATGAATAAATATAATTCCAACCAAAGTAAATAAAAAATCATGAAGTCGTGGTGGCCTAGTGGTTAAAGGCCCGCCTCACGTGCATGAGGCCGCGGGTTCGAAACCTGGCAAGGACCAATATGATTTTTCCGAGTCATATGTACTTTCTAAGAGTATTCAGACACCACTGACTGATGAAGGAAAACATCGTGAGGAAACCTCGACTTATAATTTCAAAACATAAGTTTGAAATCACCAAACCCGTTTTGAGCAAGCGTGGTGATAATGCTCAAACCTTCTCTATGTGAGAAGAGGCTTTTGCTCAGCAGTGGGCTCTGATAGGCTGATGATGACCTTAGTAATATTGACCAATACCTTCAAACCTTGTATTAAATGCACGTAACAACTAGTACAGGGAGTGTTTGAATATAATTAGTTCTTACCAAGCTCCAGTGGTTCTAACTTCTCTTCATGTTTGGTCTCCAACTGATGTAGTGAGTCTAAAGCTGAGTCTACATGCCACAGGGCGCGGCGAGACCCCACCAGGCGACCCGCGGCTGAACACACCTGGAAATATATACAAAGTAAAACCAGTATACAAAGACCCCTTGTTTCGGCGCATAATGCCTACACAATTAATTTTATATAATCTATTAATTTACTATTCTGTTTGCTCTTGATCTTATACAATAGCAATGTAGTAAACTAACGTCATATATTTATTGTTTTAAAGGGTAAACTTTATTAATTTTCAATGGTCATTCTGTCTATTCTCTCTCCGATCGCAACTCTGTACACACCTCTTATATTAAACCAAGTTTTAGAGTTTTTGATTGTTTAATTTGGCACCAGTATATAACGAAATATACACCACTGGTAGGCTTGATTGAAAATTATGAGTTAAATAAATCAGACAAAACTCACACCAGTTAAATGACCTGGGATAAGTTTTATAGCAAAAAAATATCTGTTCTATTTTAATGAACTTTTTGAAGTAAAACTTCTTTAAATCGTTGTGATTTCAAACTCTATAAAACGAAAAAATAAGTAGATAGAGACAAAAACACATAAATGTATGTAATACAGCCGACGAAAGAATGAGATAGAATATATCAGAATTTCTAGGTCTTTTAGTTATTACTTATACAGTTTTCATGCAGCGACTGTGAATTTTTTCAATGCTTTCCAATTTATTTATCAGGGCCATTCAGAGGATTCACTTCTACGGTATATGACTTGCACACACACACACACACACACATATTTTTTCTGTGTTGTACTCACGCTGAGTTCAGGTGATGTGCTAACATAAGTCCAGTCAGCTAGGGCTCCGCCCCCGGCGCTGACTCCCGCGGGAACTTCGCCCTCCGCACCCACCGCCGTGCGGATGGAGTTAAATACACCCGTCACTGTGCGAGTGAACAATCTAGAAGGTTCGAAACGATTTATTGTAAAGAAATGAAAAAGTACTACCATTATATGACGATACATATATTAAAGCAACTTAACAAAGGCTATATAAGAGCTAACTACAAAAATGGTTGTAATATTCTGAATTATAACATTATTAAGTCCATGTCTCTTTGAATAAATTATCGTTTTAGTCGATTTTTACTTCTTCTTGGGACAGCAAAAAAATCATGCTAAGCCACAAAATATTATCAAAAAATTAATCTTTTCACTGGTATCATACTAAATATGTATATTTCCTTACTTGTCTAGTCTCTGCATGTTATTGCTGGTCTGTCCCGGGGACGCGTTCCTCTCCATATCATATTCATCTGTGAAACAATACTCATTTAATATATATCTTTATATATATAATTCTTCTGTGAGTGTGTATGTCACTGAACTTCTCTCAAACGACTGGACCGATTTTTTTTAAATTAATATTTAATTTATTAGTAGTTGTTGATACAAACGTTTTTTTTTGACATTAGATTTGACTACTTACTAATATGTCAATCATTCTGTCGCACTTCAAAACACGTAGATTTATGGATTTATTAGGTAAACTTCAAAAATTTTAATAAAAAAACGTAACAGATATTTCTTCATTATAGATCGATATGAAGTTCAGCGGGTATTCTAGTACATAATATATATAGATGATGATAAGCATATAGTTTCATACCAGCTAACGCAGCTGCGTCGGGAGGTCTAGTTATATTGGTCGCTTGCCTCCCTCGTGTTTCCTCAGCGCCTTCCCACCAGACCTCTTCCGGTCTGAAAACCAAGTATTTTATTAGCAGGTGTTCCCAATACAATACAGTACCGTATAATACAGTACAGTACAGTACAATACAGTACAGTACAGTACAGTACAATACAGTTCAATACAATACAGTACAGTACATTACCTTGGGCCGGCGTGTTGCAGCAATGAACGTAGCTTAGCTATGGAGGCGGACAGGTCGGCTGCTTCTTCATACTGCGGCTCCGGTGATGGAGGGCTGGGAGGGGAGGGAGGGGGGCGGGACAACTATAGATGTAACAGAAGATATAGATATAGATGAGGTGTATTGTAGCTAAATAGATCACATGACATACGGGCGATACATTTGAAAAAAACATCAAAGATATTTTACAAATTATGTAAGCACAAATTTATACATAATTACTATTTTATTGGTTTCTGTTAACTTTAAAGCAACATTGATGTAAATTTTGTATATCAGAGAATTTGAGCATTATAAGCAAATTAACCTTTATTATTAGAATTTTTTTAATGAGCAAAAATAACTTTGGATTACATAAATGTTAATATGTATATGAATACAAATATATTATTTGTATATGTATATGTACATACATATATATAAATTTAGAAACATTCTCCTTATCTAGCTATATAGAATGGTCCTAGTAATATTTGTCATAACCTAACCTACTCTATTCAACCCATGTATGTATGTCAACATCACATAAAGCCCTCACCACACTGTCCTGCGAGCTGACTCTCTGTTGTTTGACCAGCTGATGCATCAGATTGTCTTCTGAAACGACATAAAACATCGATAATCACTACAAATTCCTACGAGGTAAAATATAAATCTATTTAGATCTAAGATTTCCGTGAATATTCATTTAAATTAAACTAATATTTTTCGAATGTACTACACAATATTTATTTTTATCTAAAACTACTAAACTATGAGTCTCACATCTCGTCATTGTGATCTCGGTTGCTGTAAAGTAACCGAGACGTCGGGAGTATGTAGTTTTTAATAAAAATAAAAATCCCGTAGTACATCTGAAAAATATTAGGTTATTTTAAAACTATATTTTTTTAGGTTTACTAAGCTTTTATAATTATTTTTAATATACTCGCTTTACTTTACTTTTCTTTGCGGCAACAGCGATCAGGGGCATACGAATATTTGTTAGAAATAATTATAAGGGCATAGTAATCCCGAAGAATATTAGTTCTATTTCAATGAATACTCGCGAAAATCTTACGTTTCCTACGTGTTATATAATATGTAGGTACCTTTAGGAGTGCCCATAGTAGCATAAGCTTCTTGCGCCTCGCTAACTTCTGTTTTCAGTCTATGTCTCTGTAGTTCTGGAGAAACCTTCTCACTTCCCTTGTGTGCTGGTGATTTGTCGTGTTTTTCCTGTAATTATTTGTTCATAGGAGTCAAATATTTTAATCAACAAATATTTAGCCACATTTTTCATAATAACTTAAATGTATTTCATGTGTTTATAAATAATAGTTAATGATGTACATATATTCTTTAAGAAATTTGAAATTGTAGCAAAAACTTCTAAGGATTTTGCCCAAAACTTCGTGAAACTATTGTACGTGGATTTTTGTGTTTAATTTGCTTTTTAAGAAGATAGTAAATATAGATATATATTAAGGTACTCTTAGAAAGTACATATGACTCGGAAATATCACAGCGGTACTTGCCGGGATCTAACCCGCGCCCTCGTGCACGAGAGGCGGACCCCTTAACCACTAGGCCACCATTGACTTACTATGGCGTTAGTAAACATAAATCGTATTTTTTTTGTTTCCTAGGCCCATTAGTATCGCTTCACTAATTCTAGATTTTATAGAACAAATAAAAAAAAATCTTATTTTTTTCATATTTCTTATCTCATTGTTAAAACTTATCTCTTACTTCCTGGTCTTATTGGAATTATTATAGTAATAGTTTTCATATCAAACCTGTGAATCATCACTAAGTCCGGTGAATCTAAGTCCTTTCTTAATGCCAGCTATGCCTTTATCTAAAAGACCTTCCATCATACCAGCCGCTTCATCCTAAAATATAATATTCAATTAATATTAAGAAATATTACTTCTATAGGTTAAACAAAATTAAACACACATTTCATCAAAAGTGCTTCCATACATTACAAGTTGAAATTCATGCAAATACTATCCAATCACAAAAATAATTAAATTACACTATTAGGTATCTTGGCAGAATTTGGCAGACCCTGGCTAAAGCTGGGAAATTGCCAGGAAGAAGAAGATTATCTTGTTTTTTATTATTGGTACTATACACTATTATAATATACACAGTGTCACAAATGACGAATTAAAATAAACAAATAGGACAGGAAATAAAATATATGTATTTAATATGTGTCAATAAATTATCCTTATTGTCCTTATTAATTCGTAGTATAGTAATACTGTGTATAAATATAACAAAGTTAATTAATTGAAATACAAATAAAGATAAACCTGTTTCTAAACAAGCATTACAATATAGAGTAAGGGTGGCACTTCACTTGGTGTTGCGTATTCGCGTATTTGTTGTGTTCGGCCAAATAAGACCATGTGTGGAGGATTTATTCGTCTTCATTTGACATATTTGCACAAATAAGACACATACACAAATAAGCGAAAACGTCGATACGGCCGCTTGTCGCTTTTTTAACACGCATCAAAAGACGCAAATATGTCAAATATAACAAATATACCGTTCACACATAGCTCGCTCATTTGTATGAGCGACATTTGTATATACTAATAGGATGGACAAAAATATACTGCTGAAGCCCTAAACACGTCTATTGCTAGTTAAATTCAATTGATTTAAACTCCAAACATATTCTCGAGTATTTCATTAATTTGGCCTTATTTGCTGTTGGCATGCCAAGTGTGGATTTCGTATTTGCGCTATTTGGAGCACATACAAATATTTGGACAAATGCGGCGAATACGCAACGCCCAGTGAAGTGCCACCTTAACATACAACATGCAACATAATGCTATCATGATATTACTTACAGCTCCACATGATCCGATTGTTAAATGACTATTATGGAAATTCAGATTAATCGATTACTATAATATAATATTATTTAATAAAAATATATATATCACTAAGAAACATTAAATAAATATGATACATAAATCTAAAAAATTATAGTGTAAAATAAATTATTTAAAAGTGCCTTTTATATTGATATAATATGTAATAATTCATTTTAAATGTATACATATGTATTATATAGAAATTATAATTATATATGTATATAAATCATGCTAAAGCAACAGGATCACAAACATGCTGAGGACATACACTGTTGTTGTAGGTCACATCTATGTACGGGACCTGCAGATCTCCTATCTTGGCCTTCGCCTGGTGTACAGTACTTTGCAGGTCTCGCAGAAGTTCAGCTGGCTTTGGGCTGGAATCCTTCTTGGTTTGAACCAAATCCAGATCTAGTTCAACATTATCTTCCTCGCCTATATTGAAGATATAAAGAACTTGCTTTATAATAATAATAATATTTATTTGCTCTGAATGTAGGTACAGAATATAGGTGTACAATTGATTTTAGTATAAGTTCCAGGTACATTCTACCATTCTTCATATTACAATTAAAATACATCATATTGTTATATGACAAGAAATAAACTAAAAACTCTTTTTCAAAATACATAATTTACATTGATATTGTTTGAGGTAAAGTTTCAGTCTTGTTTTTAAATTTTCAGCATTACTTCCAGTTTTTATAGATTTATAGCTTTCATATACAACATGATACTTAAATGTTGTCATTACAAAATAACAATGGCTCAGTATTATAATTAGGTAATTATAATACGTCATAAAAATAATACTAATTATAACTAGTACAGCACAGATGGCGCCACTTATAGAAAAATATAAGTAAAACTCATCAATCTTTTATTAAACTACTATGAATCTTTTTCCTATTAATACCCAATCATAATTTATGCCACTACCAGTAAAATAAACTCTAGTATTAAATACTAACCAAACCACAATGGTTGTGGTGATATTGTTCTCATATTGGGACTATGTTCTGCCTCTTCCTGACCCCAAAGACGGCTTAAGGTCATTTCATCGAGACTGGCCAGTAAATCTTGACCCACGCTAATACACTGCAAGTCCATATCTGTCTCCCAAGTTTTCACACTACCTGGGATCATTAATAATAGACATATATGATTAATCAACTTTAAATAAATAATATATTTTTCCGGTTTATTTATGTTAAAAGAACCAGAAAAACCGTGACCATGTGTAAATGAAATGTAAATTAAGTGATACTTAAAATAATGCTAGTGTTCAGATATGTACTAGCTAAAGACTTAAATATTATTATAGTTAAGTTTGTATTAATTATTATCTATTAGTCTTTCATGTATGTCAATATTTTTTATGCAAAGTTGCTTGAGGGATTTATATATGAAACAAAATTATATTTAAAACTAAATAAGTACACATAACATTGAGATAGTAAAAATTAATTTTACTACCTACCTGACTTTATAAAAAGTAAAAAATTATAGTAACAAACAATTCTAAGGATTATAGTATGTTATAATTAGTAGGGAACAGATGGCGCCACTTTAAACACTCACCTTCAATGATCCTGTCATATATTTTGACTTCGTTCCGACCCTGTCTGCCTCTCCGTTGTCTCAACACAGGCTTAACATCACTTAACTCTGTTCCATTACTCGTATCAACTTTCGCCTTTTCCTCAACATTCTGAGTAACTTTCTTAACATTCTCTGTAGATTCAATAACAACATTTTCATTACTTTTCTCAACAATTTCCTTTTTTTCAGTAACATCTTTTACTGTTTCAACATTTTCAGGCTCTTTTTCTACGGATTCTGTCTTTATAGTTGCCTTTTCTTTGGTAAGTAAGTTTATTAACTTGTCATTCAACCAAACGGGATTAGCGATGGTTGAATCTATATATGTGTCTAGCTTCTTAGCTAGAATTCTTACGAGCAGTTCTGAATAAGGTGTATCCCATACTTCCCATGGAACCAAATCTTTAAGTATAATCCTCAGAACATCAATACAATGATCAGCCGAGGCCGTCTTCTTATTTTTGCCGTTAAATATTGGATGTGTTTTCTTGTACAGTGATTCTACTGTCTCATCAGGGCATGTTTCATGTCTTTTAAGAGCTCTCTTATACTCTTTAAAGTGACTTGTTAATATAGCACACATATCAACAAAAATATCTTTACTATCAATTTTATTACATGTCTGTAAGAAAACATGTTAATCATGATTTTTTCACATTACATCAAATTAATCAGAAGGTAATTAAATTCTTAGCAGAATAAAAGGGAGCTTTTACTCTATTATATTGTACTATACTATAATGAAATGAGTAAAATAATGAAAACAATTAATAATTTCCATTATACATACCTCAAATGCCTTTGCAATAATTTGATCCAATATCTGTTTACATGCAAATGGAAAGCCAATTTCCTCTGAAATGTATGGAACATACCATGACGACACTAGTCTCTTTTCCAATACGGTAGTTATAACACTTAATTCATTAGTGTCATATTCTTTAATTTCCTTTTCAGTTTTCTTTTCAAACTTTGGTAGCACATCAGCAAGAAATGCCATAAAAGGATATTTTTCAACAAGTTTTTCGATGTCATACTTAATGGGCTTGTTTAGATGAAGCAACCACTGGATTAACTTAAAGCTTGCAAATAAAGAAGTGATGAATAGTAAAAGAATGTAAATTATAAAATAAATGCCAGTTATGGGCGAAATGTTAGTTATATAATTAAGTATAAGGCAACCGACAGTGCCGCTACATGATATGATTGTTACAGTTTCAAGTAAATCCCTCTTAAGCAACATTTTCACGGTTTTAAATACTTTTTAACCGTGTCGAAAAATTATATCTTAATGGTCTTCTGTCTTATCCGATGTCCATTGGCGTGAGTGTGTACTGACCCAGATCAATATGTTCGATTTACCTTTTTAAAAGGAATAATTTAATAGTAAATTGGAACATAGATGTACCAACTACATGTTTAGACATTTGTTGATACTTGATGTTATTGATCTGATTATTTTGACAGTTGGTTTTTATTCTGTATTCTGTTAAGAAACGTGTTACAAAAAACATACGGCATTCAAAAAATCTAACTCTGTATTAGTACTAAAAGAGTTGAAGGCTACTTTCTATTAGATTCAGAAAGCATATAATTCGAAATATTTTTCATATAGTACATTTTTGGTTAAAAGCAGCTAATGCAATTTATTAAAAAAAATAACACCTAGTAAACAAATTTTTGAATATTTATAAGTATCCTCTATTGTTGATGATTAAATATTGTATTTTATGCTATGAATTCAATATATTTTTATTAAATGTTTCTAAACTACATACTAAATATCATTGTGACTAATTACAGTGTCATATTGACACGTTTTAGGCTAAACGTTGACTATTGCTTACTGTCACAAGTACTAGCGAGTGTGTATTTGATGATATTCAATTAAAAATATTTTCAATATGTAAGTTCAAGTGTTTCTTATTTTTATTTCTTTTAAAAGAAAAAGCGAGTCACATATTCATATTTTTATATTTTGTAGGTCCAAAGTTACCTTCAAGATTACTTTGACATCAGATCCCAAACTGCCTTTCAAAGTGTAAGTTAATTTATAGTTTTTGTATGCGAGCAATAGATTATCATATTTATGTAACTTCAACGTGGACATTAAAGAAATATTTATAAGTTCTCTTATAAGAGCATGCTATTAAAGCAATCATTCCTTTTGTTTAGCAGATGCTGATTCTTGGGTTCTACTGTCTACATTGAAGTTACATATTACAAATGGATCCAATACTTCGCGGTTTCCTCGACTTCTTTCAAGTTTATATCAAAATTTGTCAACTACCTAGTTGGCCGACCGAAACAACTTCAAATGAAGAGATATTGAATGCTTTTAAAATATCAGATCACATAAAAAAATGCCTACAGAGGCTTAAGGAAAAGTCGCTCACTGATGATTTCTTAACAGCAGTGACGGCAGAAAATAAACAAAGTACTTCTAGCTATTTTCTGAACCAATGTTTCTTTGAACCTCCTAGATTCATTTTAAAGAAAATTGTAACATCTTCTTGCGATATAGAACAACTTGATGTTGCATTTAAGTTTTTTGTAGAACTATTTTCCATAGATGAATTAGAAATCAGCTTATCACAATTCATGTTGGAAGCTGCTTCCAAAGATACTCTATTAAAGAATTTATCTAACGAACTATCAGATGATGTTTTGTTGGACTTTAAAATGAAATTTCTTCTTACCGAGTTGAAATATGGCAATGTAGATGACAATCTACTTGATGATATGATATGTGAAAATTGTACTCAAGATACCGTGGAACTGCTAGTATTAAGTGTATTGAATAATGATGTTATGTATCGTTCTCTAAATAAAAGAATTGTCAATTCATTGATAAGAATTTTGTCAGGTATGAATGTGAATAGTAAGAATTTCTGGAAATACCTCTTTAAAATGGATGAAAAATTGTTACAGTTGTGTACAAATAATAAGAAGATTTTTGAATTAGTTATAAAAGCTCTCGTTGATGTAGCACAATTAATTGATAATGAAATGTCTATGGAATATTTTTATATTGAAATGACTTACTCAGAGTTGAAAGATGCTTTACAAAACATTTGTAAGAATGAAAGGTTGAAGAAAGGTTTCTTTCATTATGCCATTGACGTGAGATCTTTTGATGAGAGTTTTTGGAATGATTTATTATCATGATATATATTTTTATAAATAAATGGTGAACATATTAAGTAATATATTTTTTGTTATGATTTTGAACTCCACCTTTTACAGTGTACCTTGTTCAATGCAATTGTCTTAACAAGTCATTGAAATGCCATTGGTAATTGTTGATCATAATTTATCACAGCCAACCCAAGTCTGAGAAGTGTAAACCTTCCTAAATTCCGTTAATACTATAATAACTCCAAAACATGCCTAACACAATTAATTAAAAAGATTAATTAATTTTTAGTTTGTTTAAATGATTTATGTTAGTTTTTTTATGTTGAAATTTCAATATTTTTTTTCCAAAGAGCATATTTGATAGGATTGAAAGAATAATATAACAGAAGTTATCTTTCTTTGCATAAAAACCCTTTTATTTACCTCCAGATCCTTTTACTAATATTTTATTACAAAAAGTAAATGTAAAGGCAATAAAAAATTTGATGTTTATTTTTACGCAAATCATTATCAATTAACGCTACCAGTGTTCTAATAGTTTCGTAATAGTTTTTTGACAAGAATGTTAGCTTTTTTAAGTCATTTTAATTATTAATTACAGTCTGAGCGTCCCCGAGGCGACGCCATTTACGGCAGTGTTAAAATTCGCGGCGGAGGAGTTTCGCGTGGACCCCGCTACTAGCGCCATCATCACAGATGATGGTATAGGAATAAACCCACAACAAACAGCCGGTATACATACTCTTTGGACTATAATCTTTTTTATAAAAATACATATAACAAATAAAATCCATTCTTTTTTAAAATTGAATTGAAGTTAAAAAATCTTGAGAACATCCTCTCTACATATTAATCTACATATCGTCGAGGATAGTGCAAATCCGCGTAACTAACATCTGATAATTCCGCGTATCTACATTGGAAGCAGATTAATTATCAGAAGAAAGTTTGGGCTGAAATATTTTCTATATAAACAACTTTTAAGGTATTTTTTTTTTACAATTAGTAATAAATTAAACACTAAATAATTGCACTATCCCCTACGACATGACAAGTGAATCCGGTCTACTTTGAAGTTGAGTTAAAGTAAAAAAATCTTGAGGATGTAATTACGTAAGCTTCATAAATTTTTAGAAAATAATTTTAAATGTGATAAAAATTAAATCATCTTCTTCTTCTTTATTATTTATATTTATCTAATTAAGTATTATTCGAGTTAATATATTTTATGTAAATAATCTAGTAATATTTTTTCTTTTTAGGGAATGTGTTTCTAAAGCACGGATCTGAGTTGAGATTGATCCCGAGGGACAGAGTTGGATGTTACACTACATAGAAGAATTAAGATTACATTCCTTATAAATATTATATCAAGGATGCTGATAGAATAAGATCAATTTATTCACAAATAAGTTCTACGAAAGATAATGTTCAACATTTTAATTTATATATCAGTAATGGCTTGTTTATGTTATTAAAAAATATTTATATATAATATATATACATTTTGTTGGAAACTTTTTTTATATGAAAATTAAAAACCATAATGAACTTTGGTAAATTTTATTGTTCTTAATTATTATTATGCTTATATATAATGGAATTTTATATTTCAATCCAACCTCATAAGAGGTTCGACCGCTCTTAGAAATGATTTTTCAAACTCCTTCTCTGAGAAGCGATCTACTGAGGCCCTGAAATAAACATATGAAAATTTTAAAAGCAAATAAATTATTTATATAGAATCATTACAATAAAAATGTAATATGGAAGAATGAAAGTTGTTATATAAGTATTTTAATTAAAATTTTAGTTACATTGATATATAATATCTGAATCAAATAAATACTTTTTAAAAAACTTTCATATAATATGAATAATAAAAATAACCACATTTAAAAGACTAATGACATTCTTATTAGTTACTTCCTCTTAGTTAAGTTGTCATAAAAATAAATAAAATACATATAAAATTATAACCAGTAAGTATTAATTAGCCTCTATTCATACCTGGCAGCTTCAATTATTCTTTTTTTCTCTTCATTGGACATAGCAATCACTTCTAATATAGCTCTAGCGTACTCATCTGCTTCAGATGCTAGGAAACCAGTCCGTGAGGCCTGGGAAGTCTCAACTATATCAGCTAGAGGCCCCCCGGACTTGTGAGCCACTGTTATCAGACCTGCTGCCATACATTCCACGACACCTACAAGATTATTTATTATATTCACTATTATTAATGCTAAGGTTTATATTTACTTAACTGTATTTCATTCTAACATTATAAATGTGAAATTTCTTTTATACCTATGTTTATCCTTTTATAGACTATTGTATAGATTTTAATGTAACTTTATAATAATATAACTATAAACAGAACAATATATTAACGTTGAAACGGAAAATTCCTAGAAATTAACAAATAGTCATAACATACAGACATAGATGGCGTTACTAAGTAGGAGAACTTTTTTGACAATCAAGTTGCGAATCGAATACTAGTTTAGTTTTTTAATATCATTCTCCTCACTGATTCCAAAGTGTTCGTTCCACATCGCATGTATAGCAAGTGTGCTGTTTTGGTACAGGTTGAGTAACGTGCTGTATGGAGCGTTTACTATGAACTGAACGTTCTCGTCTATCGCGAGATGTTTCGCGAGGTCCTTCAAGTTCCGTACACGCTCCTCGTCTTCAGCATTACGACATGACCCCACCAATACTAGCCGTATCTAAAAATAATTGTACAATTTTCTATATAAACGCACTTATTTGCTTTTCTTATAAAAATCTTAAAACTATTACACTACTAATATTCCTCATAAATCAGACTCTTTCATGAATGGATGGAATGAATATATGACATGTGTAAAAGTAAATATAAAAATAATAGCTTAGAAAAACCTAAACAACACGCTTTAATAGCTAAACGGAACGAAAAAATTCAAAATAAGTTTCAATTACAAAAAAATTTTTTAATTTAGAGTAAAATGCGTGGAATGCTTGATATTGAATGTTACAATAATTCTAGTGGCAACTATCTATGAGAGGAAAGATATGAAATGCAGTCAAATGCACCTCACGCTTTTTACTCTGAATTAAAATGATTTGTTTATAATTAAAATTATTGTCTAATTTTTTAGTTCGCTCCAGTTACATACAACCCAAGCTTATAAAAGAGTGTTAAAAAGAGAATGTTCACTTAAAATAGTTTTAATATCAACAAATTACAAATTATACACTAATCTCAAACTGAAGTCTTATAAGTAGTTAGTATTTCAAGGTCATAATGAGATCTAAGATTTTCGCGGGTATTTATTTAAATGAAATTAATATTTTTCCTATACACTACGCGACTTTATTTTTGACTAGCTTTCCGCCCGCAGCTTCACCCGCGTGGAGTTCGGTTATATCGCGTTTCCAAGAGAACCTTTCAAAAGTCTGGGATAAAAATTATCCTATATTCTTTCTCTATTTCAACTCTACCTCTGTACCAAATTTCATTAAAATCGGTTCAGTGGTTTAGGCGTGAAAGCGTTACTGACAGACAGAGTCACTTTCGCATTTGTAATATTAATAGGAATGAAAAGAGAATCTCGTCTGTCCGGGAGTATGTAGTTTCTATCTGAAATAAAATCGCGTAGTATATCCGATAAATATTAGTTTCATTTAAATGTGAAAGTCATACCTTATTCCACAAGACCTCGTTCTTAATGAGTAGGTTTCTTAACTCGTACATAGCTTGCAGCATCAGCGGGTGATCCTTCTCTGGTCGGAACTGAGCCACCGATAGTATTCTGATTGGATCCGACTCTTTGACCAACGAACGAAGCTTCTTTAACTCATTAACCTGGTATAGTTAATATATATACATTACAAGTGTAGGTTATATGTAGATAATTTAATGGAAATTTGTTCAAATATAGCAATTTATTTAATAGGTACAAATTTGTTGAGATCTTTTAAACATTAAACATTTTTTTTTAAATAATACGATAGAAAATCCATTATCCACTGAATCTTAATTAACGTAATTCTGATTTTTTTTGATATGTTAACCAATCAGCGACATCTATTGTCTAAAAGAATTAAACATAGCCTGAATTGCATTCTTAAGTTTAACCTACATAATTTAAAATTTCATCAAAATTCGTTCAGTAAGTTATACATTAAAGTCTAACAAACATCCATATTTCCTAATAGTATCTATTTTCTACTATTATAGGCCACTTCTTCCTTCCATACCTCACAAGGCGGGTACACTCTATGAGTGTTAAGAGAACAGTCCCACAGTTCATTAATATGTTCCTCGGTCCAGGAACCATTCACCATAACTACATCTGCTTGACGACCCACCACGCCATACAACTGAAATATAATAGAACCACAATTTAGCTTAGTAATATATTTTGTGCCATCAGTCTATCAGAGCCCAATGCTGAGCAAAGGCCTCTTTCTCACACGGAGAAGGTTTAAGCATTAATCACCACGCTTGCTCAAGACGGGTTGGTGAGTTCAAATTTATAATTGTGAAACTATAAGTCCAGGTTTCCTCACGATGTTTTCCTTTACTGTATGTCAGTGATGTCTAAATACTCTCAGAAAGTACATATGACTCCGAAAAGTCACATTGGTACTAGCCAGGTTTGAACACGCGCCCTTGGCAACGAGAGGCGGACGCCTTAACCACTAGGCCACCACTGACTCAGTAATATTTTAATTAATATACAACTATAGTTTTTAAGACGAGTCTTCAGTCATAAAAAAATCACTACTTTAAAGCACTATATAGATTATAAATTTCAATTTTGTGTCAAATTTAATAAAATTGAAGATAATTGAATCCTTCATACAAAATGTTATATTGTAATTCTTAATATGTAATATGTTAGTATCACAATTATATAAATACATTTTTATTATGAGATCAGCACTCAAAACAATATCATAAATAATATCTGTGGCTTTACCATACACTTAAGAAAAGTGTTGCCATTCTACTTTATATTATATCAAACACAAAGAATATTATGAAAATGAATTTAAAACATTGTTTCGCTCTTACATAATTTATGTATTTGCATTGTTAATAACAAAACAAACATATAAATGTATTAAACTATACTCACCCAACCGAAAATCTTATAATACAGAAGCTTACACCATGTAAGTATGGGATTTCTTGCGATGACACTGCTATTATTGTAAGTTATTAGACGATGTTTGACCCTTCTCATCATTGCCGATGTTATTGTTGGATAGTGTGTGTAGCAACCAACGGGACATTGGGCCAAGTAACGGTATATAGGATATGTGAACGCACAGCCCATTGTATCTATATATATATCTGTAAAAGATTTATTATTGTTATATTATTATTCAGGTACAGTACATATTATTCAGGTACAGTATGGCAATATGTTGGTCTTTAAATTAAGTTTTTATGCACAATTAAATAGGAACTTATATGTATCATTTAAGTAGAATATCTTAACATAATTTTGGTAAAGAATATAAACAATTAGCCTATATTTAAAGAAAATAACAATTATGTGAGAAAAGTATTACACAATAGATTCATGTTTTATTTTAAATCTGATTCTGGTATTAGAATATGGAGATTAACAAATTCTTTTATTTTAAATAAACTAAAGTTAAGTATAGTTTAAAATAATAAAACACTATTAGTTTTATATAAATGCATATTCATGAAAGTCTTAAATAGCGCTAAATTGTACTATATTGTTTTAATATAGTAAAAATCTTGTTTACCTGGATTAAATTTCATAAATGCTTCCATACCGAGCACCATAGTGCCAAGACTCTGTAACAGTAATGTAAAGTATGGGTAGGTTTTTGCTTCTATTGCTTTCCCCATACTTAGACGAATGAAATTAATTTGTTCCGGTTCAACCTTTACATTAAACTGATTTTGGACTTTGTTTAAAATTGTTGTTGGTTCTGCTGTTTCAACGGTGTATATATAGATGTTTGTATCTGGATACCTGTTGTAAATATATTATGTTAGAATAAGATCATATAAGATATAATTTAAAGGTAACAAAAATACATAAGAATAGTTTATATTGTGAATTTGAAAATAGCACTGGATTAAGAATAAGAGCAAATTAATACATATACAGTGGATATTTATTTAGTAATTAATTAGCAATAATACACTCATTATGATAACTATTTTATTTTATAAATATGCCTCATAACCCACAACAGATCATGGGAATTTCAACACAGTACAATATAAGCTCTACACTTGCTTAGTTTGTTACTATTAACTGTAAATTAAGGGGTTAAACTAAGTGTTACTCTAAGAATAACACTGATGATATATTACTAATATACCATATGTATATTTTTTTTTTTTATGTTAAAGGTGGCAAACGAGCAGACGGCCCACTTGATGGAAAGTGGTTACCGTCGCCCATGGACATCCACAACATTTTGTTGTGGATGCGTTGCCAACCTTGTCTTTTGGCGATAGGGAGGGGAGGGAATAAGGAAATGAAGGGAAAGGGTAGGAATAGGGAAAGGGCAACCGGCTCTCTCACTCATCAGACGAAACGCAGCCGGTAAAGGCTACTTCACGCCGATCTTCTGTGAGAGGGTGGTACTTCCCCGGTCGAGCCAGCCCATGTTCGAGCTGCAGTAACTCACCACAGATAGGCTCTACCACCCTTAAAATATATATTCTTACTTTGCTAACAACGCCTTTATAGCCACCCAAAGGACCCTTTCGCCTCCTCCGCCCCCATTACAATAAGGATGGAAGAACGCGACGTTAGCTCCATCCCTCGTTCTTCTCTGTAGCTTCCTTTCCTTAATCCTCATATACCAGGATGCGAAGATAAACGCGCACGGTATTATAACGAACGTGCCGAATAACAACACCCCCAAAAACATCATAGGCAGGATAACAACTAACCTATTAACAATTCACCATTATAGTCGTAAAATATAACTTTAATATGCTTAACTTCTTTTCATTTTACTTGTTTAATATATGATTTGGCCTTATAACTTATGCAGTAAAGATACTTACGTGATAATTTCTATTAACATATTGACTATAATCTTTAATACTATTAATTACTGAAAAGGACAAAATTAAATAGGGAAATATCGAGGATAACAATGAGAATATTTTATTTTAATACATTATCGGCTTATTTTCTCATTTTTAAAACAAATAACCTTCTTGAGTTATTATGACAAGACTGAAACGTCAACCACTAAATATATAGGTAGTGTTGACATTAATGATTATTGATAACAAAAGATTGCCAGCGTGTACTGTATTTTCCCATTTTTCACATGAAAAATCTCAGATAAGATACAAGAAAAAATATTCGGAAATTTAATTTAACGTATTACAACCTAGAATAAATACTTAAGATAGCTTTGATTTGTGAGATAAATGAAATTTAACTTACAATCTTCTATATATATAAAAATGGATTGCTGTTCCTTAGTCTCGCTAAAACTCGAGAACGGCTGAACCGATTTGGCTAATTTTAGTCTTGAAATACTCCTGGAAGTCCAGGGAAGGTTTAAAAGGTGAGAAAAATTGGAATAATTGCCGAGATAACCCTACAAGCAGCCCTTTTCTATTTCTCATACAAACGTTTTTTTTTGACATTAGATTTGACAACTAACTAATATGTCAATCATTCTGTTTGATTGAAACAGGAAAAACCTGATTATTTATGGCCTCTAAGACGGAATAGAGTTCGCCTAGTCAGCTATACCTACATATATTACTCTTGACCAAAGTAACGCAGACGACGCAGACGCATAAACTTTAAGTAGTAACACTAGTATTACTATAGACTATAGATTTATTGCGTGACGCATGACTGAACTATAAACAAGAAATAAACTTTTATTTTATATTTATAGCTATTATTTAATAAACCCTTTTACGTTAATTCACGAGAAAAAATCATTCTTATTATTATTATGCATTTTGTAACTTTAGACATGTGTTTTCCACTCTTGCTATTTTAGTTTTATATGCTCATGCATATTTTATAAGTAACAAAACAGACCTTCATAGAATTGAAAAGAAAGACAGATACATGATCAAAATTTTATTTACAATTCTGATTTCATAAAAGCACATTACATTGTTTCTTATAATACCTATAGTATAAAATATCATGATTATTATTTTATTATGTTTATATTAGGGCAGGTCGTCACTGAGATCTTGGTCGTCCACTTCAGCGGCGAGGTCTGCGAACTTTGCGACGTAGTCTACACTGCTTTCAGCCATCAACGATTGAAGATGAGAATCCACCTGCGATTTGTATTACATTTTGATAACATAGTATACTATACCTAATACTTATTCTAACTTAGTAGGGTATAACTTGAAATAATAATAATAATATACTTTATTGTACACCACAATAGTATGGTAATTTAACATTAAAAATGATATATATACAAAATAAAAGTAGATGCACAATGTTGATAAGTTAGTGAAAGTACACTGAGTGCAACAAAATGGTCACATTTCATGCTTATGATGACAAAAATTGGTGATAATAACTAAAATGATGGGTCCAATTTAATTACTCGCAAGTCTACATTCAATCATAAAGATTGTTGGAGCCAATTATCAAGAAAATAAACGCCTCATCAAAACTATTAGCAACGACGCGAGAACTGGGGACTCGGTCAAGAAAACGTCAGTGCGTAAACGAAGCATTGAACGTGCAACATCAAAATTTGTCATCTATACAAAAGAAATAGCATTAAGTCAGTCTTCGTTTATTGTAACGGGCGCATTCAAGGATTATATGTCATCATCTAAATATAGCATTTTGCGCATCTATCGCAATAACTGACCGGTAATTCCTGTTGGGCTTTTTCAAGGTGGCTGAGGAAGCTGCTGAGTGAGAAGTCGTGTGTGTCGAGCCAGTCCGCCTCGCCCTGCGACCTCAACAGGCGGGACGGAGACAAAGAGAGGGACTCGGACGGGAGGAAACCTGCAGGAACAGACTTATATTATACTGTGTTACGTATGAGTGTGTGTGTGTGAGAGAGAGAGTGTGAGAGAGAGAGCGAGTGAGTGTGCATGGGCGTGTGTGTGTGTGTGTTTGTGTGAGAGCGAGTGACTGAGAGTGTGTGAATGATTGTATGCGAGTAATTGTATGTGAATGATTGTATATGAGTGATTGTATGTGTGCCGTATACGCACATAGTTATATAAGTAAACAGTTAGTAAGTTACATATTCTTTGTCTAAAATGTGTCACATCTGTGTATATCATATTCTTTGATATAAATCATGTATAAAAGTCGAATCATTGCATATGTAAATCAGTGTGCCTTATTGTACTCTATCGGAAATAAATCGTGAACTAGTTAGTGTCTTCTTTATCTTCAACATTCTAATGAGCAGCAGCAATAAGTGAAAATGAGTGATTGTGTGTGAGTGAGTCAGTGAGTGAGTGAGTGAGTGTGTGTGTGTGTGTATGTGTGTATGTGTGTATCCCTCACTCGAGATATCATTCTGTTCATGTGTCCGCCCCTCGCCGCCTCCGTTCTCAGTAACAGACTCCACTTTAACTATCTTAATATCTGACTCCTTGTCTTCCTTAACATCTCCATCATCAGCCTTGGCGTCTTCTGTTGGAATAAAAATATATATTAAAATACCAAAATAGTCTGTGATTAGTTCACTTTAGAAGTTTATTTTATATCATGGTTCCCAAACTTATTTTGTCTACTATCTAGTTTGAAAATAAATGTTTTTTTGGCGGAACCATTATTTAACGATTCACAGGAAAAATTTGAAATAATAATAATAAATAATATTCTATATTGATAAATATCTTGTAATTCTCATCTATCGACACTATACGAAAGGAGATAAGATATTATCTTTTAAAATGTTCCCAATACAAAATAAGCAGGTTCAAGGCCCAAATCAAATCGGCGTATCAAAATATGAGCATACCTACTAATATTATTAATGCGAAAGTAACTCTGTCTGTCTGTCCGTTACGTTTTCACGCCTAAACCACTGAACTGATTTTAATGAAATTTGGTACAGACATAGAGTTGACCTTGAGAAAGAACATAGGACAGTTTTTATCCCAGACTTTTGAAAGGTTCTCTTGGAAACGCGATATAACCGAACTCCACGCGGGCGAAACTGCGGGCGGAAAGCTAGTATTTAATGTTAGTCACCGGTGTCCTGAGAGGTGTTCCCGGGGCTCGTGTGTATAGGGATCCGTCTGTCACCGTCGTGGAAAAAGAATTGCCCGTTGGATTGACTTAGCACGTAGTACATCGAAAGGCTGGAATATATATTGTTATATTATAATCAATCATTAAACTGGCAACCCTCAAGCCACCTATATGAGCGTCATTACTTCTTCTTCTTCTATCTGGCAATTTCCCAGCTATAGCCAGGGTCTGCCTTACATGTTGTGATTAGTTTTGGCTATTTGTTTTTATGACCGGCCGCCTGCCTGACATCAACCCTCTTTTTTGGGAATCAACATTAATCAGTGATGTCTAAATACTCTTAGAAAGTACATATGATTCGGAAAAATCAAATTGGTACTTGCCCGGGCCAGGATCGAACCCGCGCCCTCATGGATGAGAGACAGGCCTTGTAACCACTAGGCCACCACTGACTGAGCGTTATTACTGACAGTCGGATACTTTGTTCTCAACTATTATCGATTTCGGAAGCTCTGTCCTAATTTGTATTTGTATATATTGCTTAAAACATGTAAATTGTGGAATTAGTCGGAAATGTAATAGACGTTGTAAACAACTGGCCGCACCATCTATAGGTGACACTTGATTTCATACAAAATACATCGTGCCGCGTTTCTTACTAAATAACACATACCATATTTTTTAAATAAATTACAATCTTTGTGATTCTAATACTAATTATATAACTGAAAAGTTTTAACAAAATCTCATTATATTTTGCTTGAACCAGCTTCTACATCCATACATGGTAGCAAAATTTAGCATTTTTAAATCAATAATAATCAATGGGAAAAAATATCAATGGGAAATTCATAGGAAATGTCATGACAGGTCATGTTATAATGGCTACTTACTCAGAAGAGCTTGTCGGAGGTGGCTTAGGGACCAGCCTAGGTTGAACCGGCTGGGAATTGGATACCATCTTCACTGGGATCAAATCTGATAATATAAAACAACAATATTATATAAAGTACTAATATTTATTTATTTATTTGTAATCAACAGCTTATATTTGTACAGTTTTCTAAATTTCATGAAGACTATGACCACAAAGATTACATTATAAAGCGTTTAATATAATATATTTAACAAACAAACAAAAAGACAGTAGGTCTAAAGAAAATTGTTGACTCATGTGATTAGAGAATATTCACAGGTGTATGGGTATTTGTATGTGTGTTTGTGCGTGCGTGTGTGTGTGTGTATTTCTGTGGGTATATATTGAATTAGTTTCATAATAAACGTAATAAGTAATTCAGTCGACTTGTTTAATAAACATTATAAGCGGCCAGTGCTGAATAGGATACTTAGTGTCACTGAGAGTGAAAACGGCCATTATGCTATGTGCAGCCGTCAAACGAAGTGCACACTAACCTATTGGTTCATAATCCATTTTCATCTTATTATTTGAATGTTATTTTAAATAAATTTATAAAGAAATCGAGTAATTAGATATTGGACAGTATAAATGTGCTTTTATTTATGAGTTACAATCGTTAAAACGCCCATGATGGATATGAAAAGCCAAGACAGCCATTAGGCACTTTCATGATGCTTCTATGTATATATATATATAAACGATATAATATTGTTATTTAGATGATACAATCAATTAAAAGATGAATATTTTCTCTCTAAGAAAAGAAACTACATTTAAAGTATTAATGTCGATTCCAATAATAAAATTAAAATAAACATGATCTATTTAACAAATTCTCATCTTGGCAACAGTAACGTTATACGTTTTACAATTTAAAATGAACCACAGACAACAATATTTGGGGTTCGTCTATGACACGTTGAGAAAAGTATATTTTTCTTCACACATTATCTTTTAGAATCTAATTTTCATTAGAATCTAATATGTATATAATATATGTGTAAAGAAAAATATACTTTTCTCAACATTATCAACTCGACGTTTCTTAGAGAGAAAATATTCATCTTTTAATTGATTGTATTATCTAAATCAAAATATTATATCGTTTATATATATATATATATATATATATATATATATATATATATATATATATATATACAGGGTGACTGGTGAATTACTATCGATATTTGAGGACGTGATATTTGACGATCATATATGACAAAATAAAAATTAATATAACATAAATATTAATAAACTTCTAAGTAAAGTTAACCAAAAGTTATGTAATTAATTACGCATCGTATGAACACCCTACAGATTAGGTATACACACACACTCACACAGACGCGGCGGCGGCACGCGTCCACACTTGGAACACTTGGAACGTGTACACACTTTATTTATTTATACGGAAATTTGATCAAAAATTAAGTACCTTTTTTTTTACATAATTCGAATGAATTTACATAGAAGCATCATGAATATATGAAGTGATACTAGTATGTAGTGTTACTAACTGTTCGGTGGTGGTAGTTTAGGCATGAGTGGTAGTAGTCTCTGTACTACGACCCGCCTGTCGGTAGTCGGTCTGCCGCGACGCCACTTGGGAAGACCTTCGAGACTGAGTGGAGACTGACAAGACTGAAACAACACACTGTATAATATACATATAGGAACACACTGTATAGTGTATACAAGTACACCAATAGACTACATATATATTTATTTATTTAACACATTTTTATACACCACAATTACAATCACAAACAGTTACAAAAAATACAAACTAAAAAACTAACGGTGAAACAAAAGGCGGCCTTATGGTTTTTTAGCCATTTCTTCCAGACTACCTAAGGTTAGAGGATTGCGTTTGGAAGACAGTATACATATATGAGCTTTCATACTAAAATTTACTAAGAAAATATATAATAATATGCTATTTTTTACATTAAAACTGTTAATAGTGTTGTGGAAAAAATAATAATTATATTATATATTTGTTTGATAACATTTAATTTCTTATATGAAATTTTCTATATTTTAAGTCATTGGTTGAGAGAAGTATAATCAAAAAAGGTACAGTATATCGGGTCACTTGTAAAAAGGTGTTTTTGTATCATGATATTATTGTTTTGACTGTGCTGATATTAAATATAGAAGCCATGTTTGACTTATACATGAGAAAGTCCTATTTAGGATAATTTTGAAAATATCAAAGGTTTGTTGCATTATTCATAAAAAATTTTCTTACATAAAATACACATAGCAACCACGTCAAAGCTAAATTATGAATAACATAAGATACTCCTATATAAATCTCTATTTGTTTTTAAATTTTTATTCTATGAAAAACTTAAAATATTTTCTTTCACGAAATCATTAAGGTCTGAAAATATACAACATAATGAACCATATAATTAACTTTTAATTTTCTAAATACTTTCAAGTACGAGAAATGGAACAAATACTAAACGTATAGTATAACCAAGAGCATATAACATATAGTATATGTATGCTATATATCTGTACATTACCTCTAAGTCTGGTTTAGGCGCGATCGGTGTGGGGTGTCTGAACAGCGGGAGGCCTACAGGCGGGGACCCGCTGGGGCTTACACTACACGCGGGGGGCTTCGGTACCTGCTGCATATATAGAATATAGTATTCACATCAGCTATTAATCAGGTAAAAGTTCTATCAAAATCGGTTCAGTCATTTTAGAGATGAGCCGGATTAAATAGAATGTTAATTCAACATTTTTAAAATATTATTTTGTTACACGTACTGTGTGTACATATTGAACATTATATGAACATCGCCGGGCGACATCGTTGTATGTCAAAAATATCATATTGACTTCATTGAAAGTACACCAAGCCGTGTGAACCAGAAGATTCCTGATACCACACAAGCTATGGAATAGTATTGCTATCCTAACATCGCGTAAGGTCAATCATGTAGTCTTAGGTGTAGGTTATAAGTTTTAATATGTAATTCTGATTATAATATACATATAAGTAAGTTTCATACTTTTCCTGGAATCTCTGGTTGCCATCCAACATAATTAGATGAGCTTAATGTCATTTTAAAAATAAATACTAGTTTTATTTATTCATACAAATGAGCACTAATATATGATACATGTGTGCATGCGTTAACATATATGTATTAGCGGCTCTATAGGGAGCTATCATATATCATTATCATATCATACATACATGTGTGGGTCCGTGTCTCCGCGCGTGTACTCCCCTCGCTCCTCCACCAAAATGACTGTTCCCTGCCAGAGCCAGAAGGCGCCGTAGTCTACACACAAACACATATATACATTAACATATATCACTTCAATAATTACAAATGTGTGTATCTATTGTGAACGAGGAGAGGCGTGTGTGTGCGTATCTTATTGTATATGTGTATTCGTCGTTGTATGTTTATATATTGTTGTATGTGTGAGTAAGCCTTTATTTGTGTGTGTGTGAGATATTTAGATGTCTAGACAATGGAAACTATGAGTAGACTGGAAATATGTGGAATTGGCCATTAGGGTGCAGAGCATAGTTATAACAATACGTTGTTGTCTGCGAGTATTTAGACACCACTGACAGACGGTGAAGGAAAACATCGTGAGGAAACCTGGACTTATAATTTCAAATTATAAGTTTAAAATCACTAACCCGTCTTGAGCATGCGTGGTGATTAATGCTCAAACCTTCTCCATGTGAGAAGAGACAGCTCAGCAGTGGGCTCTGATAGGCTGATGACGACGTTGTTGTATATGTGGGTACGTCATTGTATATGTGTGTGTGTTCATTGTTATATATACGTGTGTGTGTGTGTGTGTATTATATAGTACTTCAACATTCACACATGTGTTACCTGTCGCTGACCAGTGAGTACCCGTTGTTCGCGCGTGTGTTCGTGGGTCTGTTGATCAGTTTGTTGACGAGCTTCACGGCGCCCGACTTGTGGTCCGGAGATGACAGCTGCTCACCTACAACGATATATCTTACTTATATTATTAATAATACTTATTATTTAATACATTATATGTATATATAATGTATTATAGCCTTATAACTTTGTATAGGAAGTTTAATATTGTTATATTAATCTTATATCTATTATTTTTCTATAAACTAACACAATTTGATGAATGACTATATTTTTTTTCTTTTAAAGGTGGAAGAGCCTAGCTGTGGTCAGTTATTACGGCTCGAACATGGGCTGGCTCGACCGGGGAAGTATCACCCTCTCACTGAAGATCGGCGTGAAGTAGCCTTTAATGGCTGCGTTTCGTCCGATGAGTGAGAGAGCCGGTTGCCCTTTCCCTATTCCCACCCTTTCCTACCATTACCTTATTCCCGCCCCTCCCTATCCCTGCAATACAACGGTGGCTACGCATCCACAACAAACATGTTACGGATGTCCATGGACGACGGTAACCACCTTCCATCAAGTGGGCGGTGCTCGTTTGCCAACTTTCACATAAAAAAAAGAACACTATTACTACAGTTTCCGTTATCCTCTAATCCACACAGCTACACTATCCTAGTAAAATACTATAATTACTATATACTTCTATATACTAACTCTTCCTCTCGTCTCCAGACAGTCCGTCGTTACTGTCCTGACTGTAAGTATTCTTCGGTGACAGTATATCGTTGTCGCACCTCTCCCTCTCATCTTCTACTGAGCTGTCTCCCTTGTCGGGTGTTTTGTTCCCTTTCTCTCTCCTATCAACTCTATCTTCCGTCCTTGTCTTAGGTAGTGGGGGTGTAGGCTCCGCCCACCAGTAATCCAATTCTAATCTTGAACGGGAACCGAACTGGAATTACATTTAATAAAACTTTAATATACCACAAATAGTCTGTATTCAATTGAATTATTGTCTGTAATTAACAAAAATCAGAATAATTGACATAGTTTATAACAAGTATCTTATCAATATATAATTAATTAAATTTTTAGTGTGTCTCTAAGCACAAGTGATGGAAGTATTCAATATTAAAGATTTTATAATCTACATCTTCTATATATACATTCATTATTAATATACATGTTCTGGATAATTTCTCTATTTATCCCTACATTGTCAGATATGACCACCTACTACCATCATATCTACATATATAACATACTAGCTTTCCGCCCGCAGCTTCGCCCGCATGGAGTTCGTTTATATCGCGTTTCCAAGAGAACCTTTCAAAAGTCTGAGATAAAAACTATTCTATGTTCTTTCTCAAGGTCAACTCTATGTCTGTACCAAATTTCATTAAAATCAGTTCAGTGGCTTAGGCGTGAAAGCGTAACAAACAGACAGACAGAGTTACTTTCGCATTTATAATATTAGTAGGGATTATACAGGGTGACTGGTGAATTACTATCAATACTTTAGGACGTGATATTTGACGATCATATATGACAAAATAAAAATTAATATAACATAAATATTAATAAACTTCTAAGTAAAGTTAACCAAAAGTTATGTAATTAATTACGCATTGTGTGAACACACACACACACGCGTGTGCGGCGGCGTGGTGTTGTATCAGCACGCCGCCGCACGCGTCCACACTTGGAACGTGTCCATGCTTTATTTATTTATACGGAAATTTGGTCAAAAATAAAGTACCTATTTTTTTTACGTAATTCGAATGAGAATCATGTACCGAGTATTCTCCTTAAATATTGATAGTAATTCACCAGTCACCCTATATATATAAGTACAGTTGTTACCATCAAGTACAAGTCTCCTATAGTAAGTTCCCCCGCGTCACCCACACTCCAACCCTTCCTGATCTGCCTCATAGCCAGCTCTACATCTATGTCCGGTTTCTGTTCCTCTTCCTTCTCCTCCTTTTCATCTATCTGTAATTTTAACAACATCATATTGAGTCCAGACGTGAATTAAAAGTTGAAAGGCTAGATTCGAACTTGCTACCTGCCGAATATCGCGTGAAGTTGCTTTTCCAACTAAACAACACGAACACTTTATAGGCAGATGTGTTTCATTATGTTTTCAGTCATGATAATGTATATTTATTTCATTATATCCTACTAATATTATAATTGCGAAAGTTTGTGAGTGTGTATGTATGTTTGTCACTTCTTCACGCTCAAACGGCTGAACCGATTTTGATAAAATTTTGTATACAGGAAGCTGACGTCCAGGAATAACACGTAGGCTACTTTACATCCCGGAAATCCACGGGTAATACCGCGGGGCGCAGCTAGTATATACATAAATTTGTGCCAGTAAGCTTCTACCTTCGCGTCTTCCTCTTTATTCTTGTCGTGATCCAACACGAGCGTGTACACGGAGCCGCCTCTCTTCTTAGGACGTATACAGAACTTCACCTGAAAATTAATGTCATTACATACATTAATTTATATTAATTATGCACCTTGCAATACTAATATGACTTTTGCAAAACTATGACGAAATATTTATTCTGTGACATCATTTCTATGAAAATAAAGTTATTTCTACTAAAACGTCATTCTAATTTCCCCAAGAGCAATAGGTTATGGGCCCAGTAAGTTCAAAAAATCGAAAATTTTAATATAATAATGACACAATTAGGAAGATCTAAACTTCAAGAAAAATAATTAAAGTAAAAGAGACCTAATTACATACTGCATAGAGTGTAAATTGTATAATGAATGTTACCTTTAAATTCTTATACTTCATCTGTTTCTTTTCTCGCCCGTCACTCTCATTATCAGTGTCACTCTTGTTATATTTCTCATCGTCTTCCATTTCTGAGAAGCTGTCTTTCTCTCTCTCTAACATATCTTTGTCTCTATCTGGCATCTCTTTCTCCCGTTCCAACATATCTTTGTCTCTTTCCCGCACGTCTCTGTCCAATATATCGCTGTCTCTTTCTATCATATCTTTGTCTTTCTCCGAGTCTTCTTCTGTGATCTCCTCAGCCTTCATTTCCTTCTCTTCTTCTGTGCTGGGTTTTTCTTCATCTTCTTGATTGTTCTTGTAATGCGCCATCAGTTCTATCCCGTCTATGGCCGTTTCTTCTATGTTAATCAGTTTGTTTGTGTCTATATCGTCTATTTTAATTTTCTTCTCATTTTCCTTGTCTTTATCGGACACGCTGTCTTTACGGTGCCGTTTCGGTGTACGAATTTTGACTGGAGATAAAATGTGAATCAATGTTATCATACTACTTTAAGGCCTCGGCCTCGAATCTCGCGGGTAGCGGGGCGGCAGCGGCAGCGGCACGAAAACGCATACATTTCTCCAAAATAGCGGGTAGCGGGCACCGCTGTATTCGAGGGTCGGTCCATTTGATTATACGCGTAAGATCCTGCCGCTCCCGCTCCCGCCCCGCTGCCCGCAAAATTCGAGGCCGAGGCCTAAAGATATTTGGATCGATTTGGGTTTAAAACTGAGTCTTCAATATATTAACTTTTCTTTAAAGGTTAAATAATCTGAAAAATTACTTATTGGCTGTTTCTTTTCTAAGTGTAATCGTAATCTTCTAACATTCAAAAGCAGCGACAGTGTTTTACAAGGTCTATACTAACCATCTCCATCTTGTCTCCTCAAAGCGCCCATTCTTTCAAGGTATGAAGCGAAGCAGATCTTCTGACTGGATAAAGGCTCGCGAGGGCGGAGTTCCGGCAGGCGGACATCCGCATCGGGCCGGGGACCCACGTGGAGAGATACAACGGGGGGCGCACGTTCTGATCGAGATAAGACATCGAATAACGACACTTCTTATATGTAGCATTTAGTATGCATTCTTTGAATGAACAACATTTTTACCTAATGAGATCTAAGATTGTCGCGAGTACTCATTTAAATGAAACTAATATTTAGGGATTTTACTTCGCGTTTTATTTTTGATTAGAAACTACATACTCCGGACGTTTCGGTTACTTTTCATCAACAATGACCATGGGCAGACGAGATGTGCCCGACGGGAGTATGTAATTTCTAATCAAAAATAAAACGCGAAGTAAAATCCGAAAATATTAGTTTCATTTAAACATTTTTACCGTGACTGTTACATGTTGGAAGATATTTAGTCCTAAAAAATTAGTTTTATTGACAAATATTTAGTTGAGACGAAAAGTTATCTGTTTGATGCTGAGAGAAGTTTTAAAAAGGCTCACTGATATGTGGAAACAAATAATAGTATAGTGTGCGACAACTTTTCGCACTAGTTGCACCTACTATTCTTTATTACAAATGCGGAGATCATAGGAGTAGTTTTGTTATTTGTTTTATTTTTTATAAGTTTTTTTCGCCATCGCGAATTTGCATGTGCAAATGATAATTTGGGTGCAAGAAGTTTACTTGACGCACTCAAATTGATATTAATTGTGAAGTGTCGTGTCCAATTAGCGTCTTTTTGACACCAAAAGCAAGCACAAAGATAGTACTTTCCCTTTCTTACTACTACAAAGATAGTACTTAATAATAAAAACTATCAATAAACGTACCTCGTAGTATGGTCCTGTCTGTTTCCAAGTTGAGATGTTCATCAAGCTTGTCTCCGTTCTCACAAAATGTCGGCGAGTATTCCTCAGTTTTTAAATCACTTCCATTTTCCATCAACATCACGTGACTTATCTGTTCGCTTACAATAAGAAAACAATTGAATGTGCATATATATGTTCACATTTTAATAAATCAGAAAACTTATTTTGGCAATATACATTAAACTTTGTAAGCAGATTTTTATTAGAAATTTAACTCCTACTCCTGGAAGACTATTTTGACAAAATGTTACATTTTAACACAAAATTGCGTATAAACATTTATTTACAATACATTTCCTCTAAGGAGACAATCTCTACCACTATAATGTTATTGGAATAGTTTATTCAAATCCATTAAAAATAAGTTAGAATTAGGAAGTACTACTACTACTGTAGTAGCGCATAGGATTCAGAACGACCCACGTTACTGTCCGATAAAAAAAAATTAAGATCTTGATAAATGGTCTAATATTTCCCGCCTGCAGCTTTGCCTACGTATACTGCAAAGATTGAGGAAAATGTGTAAAGTAACAAAACGACAGCAACATCTATAGCTTGTGTCACGTGCCTTCGTATACAATGCGACTTTTATCGTGTAATTGTGATTTCGCATAAACTATATTTCCAGGATAAATTATAGCCTATGTTTTATTCTGACATCTTATCCACTGAACTGTTAAAATACATCAAAATCCGTTGAGCGATTTTTGCGTGATAGGTTTACAAACATAATCCTGCCAAATATATGTTGAAGAGTTTGTAAAGGATACACATTTCCATCGTCTCTCTAGCGCCAAGAGCAGCGCTACTAGTCTCGTTCTCAGTGTGAGCGTTACAACCGTCCGTGGATTGTGAGCGGCGGCCTGAACGCGCGTCCAAGACGCAGCGTCTCGAGCGCGCAGTAATACTTGGGCCCGAGTACATACACGAGCGCCGTACGCACGCTCTGGTGTGAGTTAAGAAATTTAGGAGATTTTTACGCCCCATAATCACAAAATAAACTATAGACGCAAATAATATAAAGGCCATAAAATCATATTTCAACATCATCATCAGCCTATCAGAGCCCACTGCTGAGCAAAGCCTCTTCTCACATGGAGAAGTTTTGAACATTAATCACCACGCTTGCTCAAGACGGGTTGGTGATTTCAAACTTATAATTTGAAATTATAAGTTCAGGTTTCCTCACGATGTTTTCTTTACCATCTGTCAGTGGTGTCTAAATATTGTTAGAAAGAACATATGACTTGGAAAAATCACATTGATCTTGCCAGGTTTATGACATATGCTCACATAATAAATTATATACGCAAGTTATATAAAGGCCAAACACAAAATCATATTTACGAGAGTTATTCCAATTAAAAATATCTGGATTAATAACATGTAGTTATTTTGTTGTTTATAACCACATCAATTAAAATATAATTTTATTGCATTATGTTCTAGCTATCAACTATAGAACCCTCAAGGCATTAAGCATCGACAGATGCAATTAATGAAGTGACAATTACTCTTTTTACCTAAGTTTCAAAACGCATAATTAAATTCAATTATAACATAAACACAATGGTCACGTTATCTGGTTGATGGACGATTATAGGGAAAAATTGATCACGTTCCATAATAATATTTCTTATAATGACATCTAAGATTTTGCGAGTATTCATTTAAATGAAACTAATATTTTTCGGATATACTACGCAACTTTATTTTTGACAAAAACTACTTTCCTGACGTTCCTTCTACTTTTCAGCAACCGTGATCACGGGCAAAGATGACACACATCGTCGCGTAGTAGGTATATGCTAAAAATATTAGTTTCATTTAAATGATATTTCTTACCAGCAATTTGATTGAGCCTCCTGAGAGCTCTGCACATCGGTGTTCTGACTCTAATCGTCTTTCCCTTCGTCCTCACAGCTATGGACCCACCGCGGACCATTTCTCCCAAACGAGCGCATATCTTCTCATTAACAGACACTAACTTCCTTCTCAACTCTCCATAATTTATCAGAGCGTAAAGTTCTTGGGCTACCTTTTTGACATCTGGAAGTTAAAGAGACTAAAAATTTTATGGAACTTTCCTAAATAAAACCCAACTAACAATACTAAAAATAGTGTTATTTTAACTCTAATTGCAAGAATCTTCAATAGAAAGCATAAGGGGTAATTATGAAGACTTATGCTTTATTCAGATATGATATTTGTCAGAGAGATTTAAACGGTAATTGAAGGCAAAACTGTAAAACAACATTATACTAAAAAAGATTTAAGTCAATATGTGTGGCGACTCACTTTCATCAAAACGCACGTGTTTGGACAGCTTATGCCATGTCCTGTAATAAAAGTGGCTGACTTGGGTTTTAGTCTTTAGATTTCCATCTAGCATGCCTTTCTTCTTCATTTTAGCGCAAATATACGAGGTGATTGAGTCGAAATCTTTGCCATATTCGTTTAACGCTTCGAAGAAAAGGCTTTTTTCATCAGCTGACCACAACGCCTTGGGCATACGTTGTTTGACCGTTGGGAACTTCAAAGGGTCTTTATCGTCTATTTTGTTTGGAGTCTCGCATTCTATGACGTCTGTATACAGAAAAAATAATACATAATCACGTGAAAAAAATATCTCACCTTGAACTTATCGTTTTAAATAATTTTACTTCTTTGGAAGCATACCAATTTTGAACTTTAGATTTATGTAGAAATAATACATTATTATTATATAATATTTTTATACAATTAAATTCATATACAACTATATTTTATTCATATTTATGCTGTGAAAATTAACATTGATTTGAAATGAAATAGACAAAAGAAATCCAACAAATAATTACTGAAATGTTATTGTTATAAGAACATGAGTTAGTTCATACAATATAATGATAGTAATCAATAAAAAATACTATTTAGATCTTATTTTTTTATGAATATTCCTTCAAACGTTGAGTTACAAGAAAGTAGGTATTTTTGAAATGTTTAATCGATACCCACTTTTTTTTACAAAATTTATAATGCATTTACTTATCATTGAAAACCATTTATCAACTTAAGATTGCTGTAACAGTAAAAGGCTGTGAATACATTATATTTTCGGAATATAATAAAGTCCTTACCAAGTAAAATTTCGTAGATTACGAAGCGTATTAAATACTTCGTGTGCAATGTTTGAAAAAAGAAATTTCCTACCACGAGTACGTACAATAGAAATTCGTTTTCTATTAAACAGGTGTATTTATAAGGTGAATCTATCCTTCATATTAGGAACAAAGAGCCCACTGAAAGATTACCTCGTTTGTCAATCTGTGGTTCGAGTCTAAGTTTCTTGATGACCCTCGCGCTGGTCCGCTGTTGTTGTTCTGTTGTTAACGATCCCAACAGCTCGGTCCGCTCTTCATCCTGTTGAACTCCTGACGACATGACGCCTGATTTGATTTGACCTGTGGCTAAAACAACAACAACTGTGGCATCATATTCCCAAAAAGAAACTTTTCTCGTTATTTTTTTTAGTTAATGGGCTGAAGTGTAATAAATATAGTGTGTATGCTATATTATAGAATTAAGTCTAGTGTAAAGTCTCCTTTATAAAACATCTCATGTATCCATCCAATTACGGTGGACCACCCGTTGGCCCAAGCTTTCATTATGCTATGTTAAAATCTTCTATTATTATTAAATGTGACTTAAATCTACAAAGACGTTCCTTTTCAAACCCAGGGATTAACCACATTAGAGGCTATAATGTTAATAATTCTTTTTGTACACTTACTCCAAAAAAAAAAAACTATTTTCGTTTAATTTTTTCTATTAATGGCTATATTATTAGTAGTTTTTGTTATATTCATAAGTAAAAAGGCCAATGACATAATCTTCAAATTATTTGAAGTAATTACAGAGATTTTGGTAATTAAATGTTTTTGTAAGTTTTATAATGTACTAGAAGACCTGGCTAACTTCGTATCGCCCTATAATCAAGAAATATCTATTACGTTTATTTATTTATATTTTTGGAGTTTACCTGTAAGCCATAAATCTCCGTGTTTTGAAGTGCGACAGAATGATTGACATATTAGTTAGTTGTCAAATCTATTGTCAAAAAAAACGTTTGTATGGGAAATAGAAAAGGGCTGTTTTTATGGTTTTCCCAGTAATTAATAAATTTTATTCAGCTTTTATACCTTCCCTGAACCTCCACGAACATTTCAAGACTAAGATAAGATAAATCCGTTCAGCTGTTCTCGAGTTTTAGCGAGACTAAGGAACAGCAATCCATTTTTATATATACAGGGTGACTGGTGAATTACTATCGATATTTGAGGACGTGATATTTGACGATCATATATGACAAAATAAAAATTAATATAACATAAATATTAATAAACTTCTTAGTAAAGTTAACCAAAAGTCATGTAATTAATTACGCATCGTGTCAACACCCTACAGATTAGGTATACACTGACACTCACACATACGCGTGTCGTGACGTAGTGTTGTATCAGCACGTCGCCGCACGCGTCCACACTTGAACATTTGGAACGTGTCAACACTTTATTTATTTATACGGAAATTTTGTCAAAAATTAAGTGCCTATTTTTTTTACATAATTCGAATGAGAATCATGTACCGAGTATGCTCCTTAAATATTGATAGTAATTCACCAGTCACCCTGTATAGAAGAAGAAGATTAATATCTATTAAGCAACTCATACAAAAACAATAGAATGTAAATAAAAAAATAAATTCAAATAGCCACGGATTCTTTTCTTCAAAATATAAAAAAAAAACATTTACGTATTAAATATGTAATTAGTGATTTTTTAAATTTAAAAGTCTGACATGTTTCTTTTAATTTTAGTAATATGTACAATATTATTAGCAATTTTGATTTTACTCCAAGTTTTTATTACAACAAATACATGATCTTGTTATCCCAGGTTTTACATAAACCATTGAAGTGACCGCGTCATTTACATCGTTTAAGAAAAGTACAGAGAAAGGTATAAATGTAAAGAAATATATTGAAAAATAATAAAAAATCACACATTTATTTGTGAAAATTTGTGATTGGATATATTTGTATATAATAATAATAAAATATAACTTCTATAGAGGGAATAGATCTTATCGAGATATAGAGATCGTTTTAATGGCACTCTACATTAATAATAACAAATTTATGACAATAATGCAACGCAAAGACAAGTTAAAAAGTATAGTATATGTACACACACACACACATATTTATAAAATATGTTTTTTTTTTCTATGAAAACATACTGGTCAGATTCAAGAAGATAATTTAACAACAAAACAGAACGATCAAAACAACAATGGAAAATAGAAAATCACTGATGAGATGTAATCACATTCATACGAACAGCATGCCATTAGCAAACATAATATGACTTACAGAATTATATGTGATCACTGTCAAGGACGGCATTATTAATTAATTAACTTATTATATTACATAAGTATGAAGAATGTTACATCTGTGATGGAAACGCGGAATGGGTGATGGGTAATTTAAGGGTGAAGATGGATGCTGAACCTACCCTTTTCTTAAATACGAAATACTTATTTATTCAAAATAATCAAGCTTTATATGATGTTAGATTAGATATTTTTTATTAAAATAGCAATCGATTTAATTTTGGATTATGTTTATATAGCAATAACAAGCCCGCGACTTTTCACGCGTTAGTCTCATGGTTGGAAATGTATAGCTGACCAGGCGAGTTTTGATTTCAAGTTTGATTTTTATCAGCAATTTTTTTTGGTCGAACGAATTCAAAAGTATTCTATGTCCGTCTCCTGGTTCTTAGTTACCTCCCCACAAATTTCCATCCAAAAATCAGTACTTTGAGTTATAAATGGTGTAACTAACATGACTTTCTTATATATGAGAAAATGCTGTAAATTTCGACAATTTTGGCTTCACTTTATAAGTGACAAGGATACAAAAGTATTCAAATACAAAAACACTCTTTGTGCTCTCTTTTAAAATTGTTAATTACGATTTTTTCGTTAAATATAAATATTAGTAAGTTGTTTGATCAATTACATACCAGTATGAAAAAAATGCAAAACGAGATTTTTTTAGGAAAAAAAAAACCTCCTAATACCAGTCTGTAATTTCCTGGTCATTTTAACAATTAAACTATCGTCATCTTGCTGGAGATGAGTAATAATTAACATTCACATAAGATTTCTTTATAATATTATAACTAAAGGATTCAACTTTAATTAAAGTATATAACGAAGTTAATTTTAATACAATTAATATAAGTTTTGGAAATAAATACTTGGATTTTAAGGTATGTGAATTAATTTAATAATTTTTTTTTTTGCGCGTCATTTCTCCGTTATTGATAAATAGCAATTTAACTGTCAATGAAATGAAATTGTCAAATAAATTGGATTTTTTAATGATAATTTTTGTCATTTTTCATTAAATATATAGAATCAACTGAGAAGATTTTTTGTCAAAAAACACATACCGAATACAATAACCGATGTTCTGGAACACGTGTAAAATAAAAGTGATTTTTATGAAGTTTTCAAAATGATAAAATTATTCAATAGTTATAATTAATTTAAAGATAAAACATCTACAGAATAAAAATCAACATATTAATTAGAATATAATATATGGATCCATATGATACAATTATACTGGTGTGCTTACGATAACAAATGCCAATTTTTTTTTCTTTTTTCAACAAAACCGCACTCTAATCGTGAATTTTTTTTCAAATGTCAACGTTTTTATTTGTTCGGCCAATTTTAGTAACGAGTTTTTGATTTTGAGCCATACATAATCCCTCTCTGATATACATTTTTTCAAAGTAAAAAATAATCGTCTGCCAGCCGTATCATTTGCATTTGTTATGCTCGGACAATATTATAATTATTTATTACGGAAAATTTAAAATCTGAGCAAAATATTAAACTCATTAATTAATATCATTCAAGTATAATTTTAACATGGAATGTAAATAATATTTTTGTCATTTATAACATCCTAAAAAGGGGGAATAAAAGTTATTTTAAATTAACAGGCATAGCCGGGCGATTGGTATATTATCTTTATTGTGTATAACAAATTAAAACAAATATAAAAACAACGTCACGGAACGTGTGTCTGATCAGAATAAACGTATCAAACGCATGGCATGCGACATTAGTGCGGACGGTTTGACTCGAGCTTTATAACGATAAATAAAATTTAAAAAAGGTTTTATAATTTAAATCTTTAAAAAGGTTTTCTAATTTAAAACTCCAAAAAGGTTTTATATAAAGGCGACCAAACTTTATAATATTTGTTTATAGCTGGCCGTTAATAAAAATGTATTTTTATATTAAGATATTTATTGTGATGTGCGTTAGTTTGTCAATGAGTGAACAGCAGGGGATAAAAGAAATGGCGCGAAAAACTGTGGTGAGTAGACATTTTTTTTTTTTTCGTAATTTTTATCATAAATTCCAAAAATGGTTATATTTTTATACTTTATTTTTGTAATATAATCCAACAAAAATGATTGTTTTTCATTAAACTTAATGTAATATTAAAATTTTTATTGCATTTTAAATATTAATTAATTAATTACGTACCGTATTTGTTTTACGATAGGAGGAAATAATTTCATGGAAATTGAATTTAAAAAATCGATTTTAACTATAAATGAAATAAACACAAGATATTATTATTAGAGATAGCTTAAATAAATATTTGTTTTGTAGATTTTTTTTAAATTATAAATAAACAATAATAAAGCAAACTTTGACAAACGATAAACGTTTAAAGTGACCTCAGGCGCATTATTGAAATGGATATATAATATTAAATAGTTAAATTTTCCCTCATTTATTTCATATTATTTCTTTATAATAGATTAAATAAAATAAAATTTTAAAATGGACAAGAAAGCACCAAGTGTAAATCTTCTATCTTCTATATATATAAAAATGGATTGCTGTTCCTTAGTCTCGCTAAAACTCGAGAACGGCTGAACCGATTTGGCTAATTTTACTCTTGAAATACTCCTGGAAGTCCAGGGAAGGTTTAAAAGGTGAGAAAAATTGGAATAGTTGACGGGAAAACCCTAAAAACAGCCCTTTTCTATTTCCCATACAAACGCTTTTTTTGACATTAGATTTGACAACTAACTAATATGTCAATCATTCTGTTTGATTGAAACAGGAAAAACCGGATTATTTATGGCCTCTAAGACGGAATAGAGTTCGCCTGGTCAGCTATACCTACATATATTACTCTTGACCAAACTAACGCGGACGAAGTCGCGGGCAAAAACTAGTAAATAATAAATATTGTAAATAAGTAAATATATTAACTATAAAATTACTATGAAATAAAAAAATGTTACGATTTTTTTTATTTATAAAATAAAAATGTCAAAAAAACTTTGCAAAAAATATCTTATACATAAATACATAGAGAAAACTATCGATATACTTAAAACTTAATAAGTATAAAGATTTTTGGCAATATACTTCTGAAGAATACTCATGTATATCGCCAGTATAGATGAGGTAATGGTCAGAACACACCTGGAAACATGATATATTTGGCCAATACATAATTAATTATTTATCAAGACAAGACTAGCAGTCAATTCAATCCAAAAATATGTTTTAACTTTTTTAAGCGAACACAGTTTTTAATAATATGTGGGAAAAAAATTTGCTTCATTCATTAATATTCATTATCGGTTAGATTAAATCTATAGAGCAATATACATACTTATATGTCAATAAATTATATATATTTATGTACAAGGCGGCAAACGTGAACGGTCTACTTGATGGGAAGTAGTTACCGTCACCCATGAACTTCTGCAATATAGTGTTGTGGATCTATTGACGTATTTTGAGGTGAAAGAAAGGATGCTGATGATCTAATAACCATACTGTCAAAGAACATTGACCTCTGTCTGAACTGAGAGTCGAGTTTTGAGTGTCTCTGGCATGGGGTACGGAAGGGTCCAAGATGCGACCTACAGTTGCTGGGTTTCTCTGGACCCCATGCTAATGAAACAAGCTCAAAATCTCACATCAGACTTAGGCTGATGCAGGACAGAAAGTCATTGTACACATCAACATTCGAAGAGAGGAAAGGGTAGGAAAAAGAAATGGGTAACCGGCTCTCTCAATCATCGAACGAAATTCAGCCATTAAAGACTACTTCACGCCGATCTTCTGTGAGAGGGTAATCAAGCTGTAGTTATTTGCACACAGCTAGGCTCTACCTTCAAAATAATATATACATAACATATACATACATAGGTATATTTTTTGTCAATACACTAATATGTCAAACAATACGGTTCAAAGTATCGACGAAGTTAAAAAAAATTTGCTTTATTATTCAATGTTTACCGGTTATAAAAAATGTGAAAAAAAATTGTTTTAGCAAATGAATTTTTTGTATTCTAATTATGGAAATTAACATGTCGTTTAAAAATGAATTCAATTTTTTTCGATTGAAACATGATTGACAAGTTACAAACGCGTACCATTACTTATTTCCATTTGGTGATGAATGAAAAAATATTTCCGTAGATTTTTTTTTATCTTTTACAAATTATATATAATTACAAAATTATTAAATACATTAATTATAATGTAATAATAAAATCAAAATATAAAATATTGTTGCAATTTGTATGTGTTTCCTATCACGACGTGATCGAGACCTCGTATCTGACAATTTACTATATTACTTTTAACGCATCACTTTTGCCCCCGGCATCGTTTATCTTATTTCATATTAAATCAAACAACTACAATAAACAAACATATAATTTTTAATTTATAAATGTGCAGAATTTTTGTTTGATCGCTCTAAACTTAGCAAGTAAACGTAGGACTACGAATTATTTCATTATTAAGTAATGTTTTATTTATCAAAAAAGTATATACATATGTTACGATAATATTAATATTCCGAGAGAATCAATATTAATTAATGATTAAAAGATTTTCACATGTACACATTTAAATTAAATTAAGTTTTTCGGTTACTTCACGTTTTTTATTATTTTATGTCTAAGAGAAATATCTGAACAGACTTTTAATCTCGTCTGCCAAATTTTCATATCCTAAATACTGAGTTTTATCAATGAAAATTGTTACGAAAACATGGAAAACGTATTAATTTTGTGACCTTTCTTTAGGACAGTCTAAATAACAATATGCTTAGCACAACTTTTCATCATCATAGTACGTACAAAGCGTGCCCATTTTCTTATTTGATACTATAATATATGAAGATTTATTTACGAAAAACTACGGACGCTTCGTAAGTAGTATCACGCAGCACACTCGTGGTAAGCAGTTTCCATTCTTACTGATAACATCCTGATGTTACTACTACTCCTGAATGCCTTGCTTCTTAACCAAATGAGTGTATTAATAATGAAATTTATTATAAATATTAAATATGAACTGTCGAATTATTGAAATACATTATTATATTGTTATACTAAAAGTACTTAAAGTAGGAAAAAAATAATTAGTCATTTTCGTAGTAAAATGAGATAATAGTCCAACGAATGCACTATAATCATCATACTATGTTCTAACAAGAAAGAATTATAATTAATTTATGAATTATCACATATTGTTCGAGACTACTCATTGTAAGGAAATACCGAAATACTCTGAAAGTTAAATCATTCAAATTAAAATAAAGTTTGCTGATTATGTTATAAGTAATAATAAATTTTTGAACCAGTTTCACACTCAAGATATTATCATCACAAATTAAGTGTTTCATCTTTATGTATAAGAACGAAATTTATATTATTTTTAAGCTAGATATAAAATAAGATAGCCAAGTATGTAAAGATATTTAGTATATTATTAAAAATAAATTATTTAGTGTACTGTTTTATAACAATAATAGTTTAAGAAAATATTTTAAATTATTATTATTTTATATTTTAAGTACGATTTTTGTGGACATGCGTAGATCGCACACTAGCTCTGTCCCTTCCATTCTTATAGAGGATCTATGAAAAGAATATATTAATCCTGGCGGCCCTAACAAGGATAATGGGAAATTGTTAAGGAATTATTGTATAGTCATCGGTCTTTGAGACATATGCAAAGTTTCAAGTTAATCAGATGTTTAGAAACCCTTAAAAATCGTGCTCGAAGATTCCGTTACATACATATATATACATAGAGCCAAAGCTAATATAAACGTGTTAAAAATTATATAAAAATAAAACCGGTCGGCTTGTACATGTCAAAAATGACACGTGTTTGACGTCATTATGATAATTTATTGCCAAACAATATAACGCCAGTATCATTGCCATCAACAAAATTTCAATAATTTAATTTCTTCCGGTATCCTTTTGATGATACATTATAATATACTAACGGTTTCATTTAAAAATATATATAATTGACTTGTTATAGGGAATCGAGTGTTTCCTTTTTCCGGTATATGATAAAATGATTGAAGAATAAATATAGTACATATTATATATTAATAATATTCTTGTAATTAATAATTTATTTTCTGTCTTTCCATAGTTCATTAACTTTTGGAATTATATAATGATATCTAAGTCTTTCGCAAGTGTTACTCATTTAAATGAAACTTATTTTTTTCGGATAAAGCACGCGGAATATATATGAAAAATATTAGTTTTATTTAAATTGTTATAGTTTATTATACAAATATTAAACATATCAAATTCGTAACAGATAACATCTGTGATTGAAGGCTAAGAATTATATACAGAAGAATTATCACTAAACAGGCTATAAATATGTTTTGACTTAAACAACAATAAAATTAATTTAAATAAAATAAACGCGTCCATTCCGATTGTTTTCAAACGTCATTATTGTTACAATTCTCGTCATCTGAATAATGATCAAATAGGAAACAAAAAAACAAACAACATGCTCTGAATATAAAAGAACGAATTTAAACACGTGAGTCTAATCACAATTTAAAATTAGCTTTATAAACAAATAAAGTAACACTAATAATATGTGGACGATTTAAAGAATATTTTAAAGAATATATAAATGCCATATTCGTAAATGCCATGATATTTTGTCAGTAAAAAATCAAGTTTTGAAATTTATTTTTATAACACAAAAAATATTTAAATAGTCTTAGTTTTACTAAAAGAAACGTTTCAATATTTATACATATATATAGAAGAAAGTTGCGTTAGTTACACTATTTATAACTCAAGAACGGCTGTAGGGATATGGTTGAAAACTAGCGGAGAAATAGCTTAGAACCAGGAGATGGACATAGGATATTTAATTCTGTTTGATCGAAAAAATAAACACAATAAATTCCAATATCTGGTTATTTATGGCCTCTAGGGCGGAATAGAGTTAGGCGGGTCAGTAATGACGAAATTAACTCGGACGAAGTCGCGGATGAAAACTAGTATTATAATAATTCCAATATAATGTTATAATCTATAAGAAAATAACCGGTTTTCCTTGTAGCATCGAGACAATCGCATCCAACTATTAATTAATAACTTCATGTGTTAATATTGTTTAATTATTGTCCTGTTGAGGAAACATAATCATCATTTTATTAAATCGGATAATATTTAATTGTCCGTAATAGGAATATCGACTAAATCAATTAGTATATGTAGTATTTGATCTTTCAACCTATATATAACTAGTTGTTGCCCGTGACTAGGTCCGCGTTAATTTCGATATTAGTAATATATGTATATCTGACCGGGCGAACTCTATTCCGCCCTAAAGACCAATAAATTACGAGATATTGGATTTTATTAAGTATTTTTTTCTATTTTGACCGAACGGAATTACATATCCTATGTTTGTCTTCTGTTTCTAATATATCCCTACTGCAGTTCTAAATATTATAACTAGCACAATTTTATTTTATAAGCATAGATATCATATATAGAAATTCCATTGTATCAAAAGTTGTTAAAATTATTGATTAATAGGTGCGTAGTTTGATTACTTAGTGGTTCTCATCAACAATTTAAAAAAATAGAAAGATTTGTATTTATACAAAAATAAACAATCATAACCGTTTCGTAAAAGTACTCTTGATATTAATTGATATAAAAATAAATAGTTCATGATATTAGTGATATCAAAATTTTGGCATATACACATTTTCAATGAGAATATAATTTTATATATAAAAGAAAGTCGTCTTAATTACACTATTTATAACTCAAGAACGGCTGTACGGGTATGGCTGAAAATTGACAGAGAGATCAAAGTCGAAATCTTCTTATCTCTGTCTTTAAGGAGAAAAAGAGTTCGCCCGGTCAGCTACACATTTCAAATTCTGAAACTAACGCAAAGGAAGTCGCGGGCAATAACTAGTTTAAGATATTTTAAAGATTAATAGTCATGTTCGAAAAACATACATAATTAAGTATTTTTTAATATATGATTCATGTCAGGCTAATAACTTGAAAAAAATTTGCAAATATTCGGTTAACAGACAAAAACTAATATAAAGTAACTTATTTAATGATACACAAACGAGTATGTACACGTAATAAAGTTTTTTTGGGACGTAAATTTTTTTTTGACTTAACCAAGCCTAATCTTGTATTTTTTTTAAATTTATGTTTTGCAAAAACTTTATCCGCTATATTAGCATAAGATGATGATAAAATATATTTTATCCTGATTGTAATAGACGTTTTTAATAACAAAAAATTTCGCAACCAGTTTAGGTAGCCGTAGGACGAGTTTGCTTGGTGAAACTATACACCAGAATCTAGGTTTTTTGGTTTTATTTATTTACTTTATGTAAAAAGTATCAAACGAGCAGACGACTCACTTGATGGTCAGTAGTGACCGTCGCCCATAGACATCCGCAACATCTATGTTGCCAACCTTACTTGTGGAGGAAAAGGGAGGGGTGGGAATAAGGAAATACAAGGAAAAATTGGGAACAGGGAAACGGTAACCGGCTCTCTCACTTATCGAACGAAACGCAGTCATTACTGACTACTTCTCTCCGATCTTCTGTGAGAGGGTGGTACTTCCCCGGTCGAGCCAGCCGATGTTCGAGCTGTAGTAACTTAACCACAGCTGGACTCCACCACCTATAAAATCGTTTTTCTCTTCTTTATCGTATCGTCGTATAATATTTCTGTGTTAAAAACGTTCAAACTGACGGTATTTCGTTTGATAATGTCAACTTGTACTACGGTTACAGCTACATCTTTTAATATCGTTTTTGTACATTTCCTTATGGCTTATTATTTATTATAAAAATACGAACAGCGGTCAACGTTTCATTTTAATTAAAATAGTTTTGTTATGTTTCTTTTTACCAAATTTTTTAATTTATTCAAAACAACATTTTACATATCACGTTATTTTTACGTTACAAAAATATTTTAGTATTGAAATTGGTGACGTATAAAATACATAATAGTAAACATAAAAACCGTTATAATTTGGTGTTTTAACGGCATTTTTGACAGAAAAATATTATTTTTTTTCAAGTATAATGGTAATTATTTGTTCATAATGTACAGCATATTAAGTATTCTGTATATAAAATCACGTGACTGAGATGAATCTCGATAAAACGACGCTGGCTTCCTTATTAAAACAAACAGTGCAATAGAATTTAAATGACATAATATATCTCTTTGTTTAAGATTCAGTTTAACTACCAATTAATATGCTTGGGCTAAAATTTTGTACACATGTCTTTGTTTGTATTTTGCTAACCGAAATGGCCACTTGAAGTATCTAATAACTTACTCAAACAAAATTCAAAATATTTGTACAATCTAAAATCTATCGGTCATGTTTTGAAACGAGATTTGCAAAAGCAGGTTTTAACTTTTTTATGGTATTTGTGATTTATTACGATAGATTAGTCATTAGTGGAATATTTCTTAATTGCTCGAATTATTCAAATACGTTAAATACATGTTTAAACCTTTAAGAATTTATAGGTTTCATTCATAAATCTTCGTATTGGTAGTACGAATTAAATTAGGATTATAAATAAAAAACTTGATAGTCTTGATATTTATAAGACTCTACTTACTAGTAATAACGAAACAAACATAGAAAATATTATTTTGCAATTCCCGTTGTCAAAGACGAGATGAATGAGCCTTATAGACTTATTAAAATTTACATTTTTGTAAGCACTACAAAAAAAATTTTTTTGCTAGAATCATCAATGCTGTATATGTTGTACATTGTTATTTAGACCATATATATAGGGTCTAAATAACAATGTAATACAAATATGAATTTAATTTCTAGCCTCAACTAATAGCTTCAGCGGGCTACCCGGTGGAAAAGCACAGGGTCACAACAGAGGATGGATACATCCTGCAGTTACATAGAATACCAGCTGGAAGAAGATTTGCAAGAAGAATAGGACCGAGTTCAAAGAAGAAGAAAGCGGTATTGATAGTCAGTGGTCTACTTGGCAGTAGCGGAGACTTTGTCATCATGGGACCAGAAAGAAGTATAGGTAATCATTATTTTGAACCCATTTTCTATATTAATGTAACAATCTTGGTTATAATAATTATGTTTTCAGCATACCTTCTAGCAGACGAAGGTTACGATGTATGGCTTGGCAACCTCAGAGGTGATATATACACTAGTCATACAAATTATACAAGAAACAATCCAAAATTTTGGGAGTACAGGTAATAACTATCACAAATAATATAGCCTTATTTATATTATACTTTTTCGGTTCTATTAGATCAATACATTCAGTTGCGAATTCAATTTGTTTTTCAATGAAAGACCAAAAAAATAGAACTACATTTGTATCATATAATTTTTTTACCAGTTTTCACGAGCATGGCATATACGATTTGCCGGCATCCATCGACAAAGTCTTAGAAGTCACTGGTCTATCTAAGATCATGTACGTTGGCTTTTCCATGGGCACAACAAGCTTCTTCATAACTTTGAGCGAAAAACCTGAATATAATGACAAAGTTCTGGCGTACGTAGCGCTCGCTCCAGCCGTGTATATGAGAAATGTTAAAAACACTGCTGAAACGCTATTATTAAATTGGAAGTTACCGGTATGTATCATACTATAAGAAAATAAACTTTCAGGACAAATTTCCATATTAAAAATATCAAATTTAACAGAATTTTCTATGTAGGATCGTATGAGGGAACGAGGCTTACTGTCTGCAACTATTCCTAGAGATTTATTAGAGATGTTTGTAACCAACATGTGTTACGTCAAGAAGCCTCAAAGGGATGTGTGTACCAGCTTTATATACACCATCATAGGAGAAGACCAGGAACAGTATGATTGGGTAAATAACAGTATAAATATATGCTATACTAGTTTTTGTCCGCGTCTTCGTCCGCGTTAATTTATGAATTAGTAATATATGTATTGCTGACCGAGCGAACTCTATTCCGCTCTGGAAGCCATAATTTATTAGTTTTTATTTCTATATCAATCGCACAAAATTAAATGTCCTATGTCCGTCTCCTGGTTCGAAGCTATATCCACGCCAATTTTCAATCATATCCCTACAGCCGTTCTTGAATTATAAATAGTAAAACTATGTAACTAATACAACTTTCTTTTACATATAGATGTAGGAGAATAACATACTTAACGAATACATTTTAAATTTCAGGATATGATGGCCATTATAATTATGAGATTACAGCCAGCTTCGTGGAGACAGTTGGAACATTTCGGAAAAATTGCCTTAACAGGTAGAAAAATATTACTAATACTTACAATAGAAGTTTCATTCTTATAGTAAAATATCAAAGATATTACTAGGAAAATTTGTTTTTAAGTTATATTATATGTATTCAGATACTTTCACATCATGGGAAGGTGGATTAAAAGGAGCTGTGAAACCGTACAAGCTCAGTAACGTTAAAATACCAGTATCATTATTCTACGGACACAATGATAGATTAACTGAGAAATCTGTATGTATAAACAAATTTGTTACATTCTCTAATACTGTATTTTTTTATTTTCTTTGTGACTTTACTTTATCCCTACTAATATTATAACAAGTAACTCTGTCTGTCTGTTAAGCTTTCACACCTAAACCACTGAACTGATTTTAATGAAATTTGGTACAGATATAGAGTTGACCTTAAGAAAGAACGTAGGATAGTTTTTATCTCAGACTTTTGACAGGTTCTCTTAGAAACGCGATAAAACCGAACTCCACGCGGGCGAAGCTGCGGGCGGAAAGCTAGTTTATTATAGTAATGAATTTTTTCCAGCAAATCATGAGGTTAGCTGAAGAGCTTAAGGCCACTGGTGTTTTAGAAGATATCCTACCAGCCTCTGAATGGCCAAAATTCAATCACCTCGACTTTGTCTTTGCAAGAGACGTCAGAACACTACTGAATGAGAAACTAGTTGATTATATAGGGAAAATGTTTAGTAAATATGGATAAAAAGAAATATGACTTTTATTTATATTGATATAAAGCTTATAATAAAATCATCCAAAAACTACTCAAGAAAAATCTTGTAATAACATTGCTCAAAAAAATTAATAAAAAAGAATCAATGAAAATAAAATTAACCAAGATCCTTTTATGGAGTTAAACTAATAAGATGAAAAGATCTAACTGTATTTAAGACTACAATATCAAAGGAAAAAACTTCTTTTTTATTTCTATTAAAGTATTTTAAGTTAAAGTACTATCATTAATAAAATAAATACTTAAATTTAGAAAGGAATATGTAGTATTAATCATTATCTATATTTATATACCTACCTTAGTAATATTGGGCTTAGTTATTCCTGAAGACTCGAGACATGGTGCAGGAACATGGGAAGATGCAAACCATGGTTCAATGGATGTTGATCGGACATCTGCAAACCTACTTGTATTTAAGCATTTTCACAATAATAATAAAGTAATAAATTATCTTCATTATAATATATTGCTATTCATAAACTTATCTATGTCTAGTGAACTGATCTATTTCAATATCTTAAATCTATATTTCAGAAAAGATTACAACTTTCCATTTCCAATACATTATATTAACTAGACATAAGTATCATATTATAATAAACCATGACAAAGGACCACAATTACGCCAAATTTAGATAAAACAGCAAGATATTTATGTTCTTGATAGAGTAAAAGCATTATCAACAAAGATATCAAATGATGCTTAATTCTGTTGGGAATTTTCATACTCACTTTCGTTTTTAGTCGGCCTCGAAATAAATACTTTTACGATACATGAAATTTATAAAGAGTTGATACGAATAAAATTTCCTTAAAATTCAATTCCATTAAAATTTTACAATATAAATTAAAAGTATATTATTTACAAATAAAATTAGTAACTCCAATGTTTATGATTTTCACAGGCGAGACATATGTCATTGTCAATGATACTGTCATAGATATTTTTTTTTGGTTATGTTCGTTCCGTTCAGAACAGGCAAAGAGACCAAAGCCCATACAGCCATGTCTTTTGTATTATGTATCTTTAATTATTTTTAATTGTATTAATCTCCTTTTGTAATCTTGACTCAAGTTTTTATATCAGGCCTAAGCCATGTCTTCTTTTAATTTTTCTACTTGAATCATTTTTTAATTACAAGGCCGAAGCCATGTCTTGATTTAAAATATTTATTTTTTTGTCAAATTCTTGTTTATTTTTACATTCCATCTTTTTTAAATGTCAAGTCCTTGTAATGTCATTTTTAGTACAATAATTAATTTGTCAAAATCGATATAATAGTCAAATTCTGAAAATAGCTGAAATAGTAATTTGTTCGTTTCGTCCAAGATATTTGCTTTCAGTTATTTCAGCTATTTTCAGAATTTGACTGTTATCCTGTCATAGATTTTTTTTTGGTTATGTTCGTTCCGTTCATGTCTTTTGTATTTTATAGGAAAAAAGAGCGCGGGAATTGAAACGTTGACACGGGCTTCAAAAAGCCCGCGTTAACGTTCAATTCCCGCCACTGTCATAGATAATACACTATATTAGAAATAACTACTATATTAGAAATATGTAAGTGGATACTGTCATTTTGTGTAAAAGTCTATAAGAAAGGACTGAAATTAGCAAAATATTCCACGATTCGAATGTGGAGGAAGCCATAGTATAAATAGAAAAAGGGCTATTGAACAGAAAAAATACTAACATTTCCTATAAAAACTTTAGTGGTATAAACTATGTGATCCAAGTTGATTTTTAATCTCACCAAAAACATGCCTGTTAAAAAGGGGGCCAAGTTCCAATCGGCTAATTGTTTGCCTAAAAAAGGGGTGAAATCCAATCTAATGCCAAGTTTAGATGCACTTTGAAATCGATCATAATCATCTTCATCAACAGCATGATCCACTGGTAAACATTTGCCATTCCCAAGACTCGCCACCACACCCAGTCCTCTGCCTTCCACATCCAGCCACTACCCGCCACCTTATTCACGTCAACGGTCCATCTGACCGAAATTCACTTTACCATACACCCAACTTAAAATATGGTATAGTTGTGAAAATACGTAGGTGCTTGGTTAAAAATATCTAAAATTATAATACTTCTCAATTTGAACTTGGCAGGTTTTTGTGGTGTACGTAACACTTAATTAATTGTATCATTAATTTATTATTTAGTTATATAATTATTTATATTTATATAATTTAAATATTTTATAATTTAAATAATTAAATTAACCTGCCAAGTTCAAATTTAGAAGTATTATAATTTTAGATATTTTTAACCAAGCACCTACGTATTTTCACAACTATACCATATTTTAAGTTGGGTGTATGGTAAAGTGAATTTCGGTCAGATGGACCGTTGACGTGAATAAGGTGGCGGGTAGTGGCTGGATGTGGAAGGCAGAGGACTGGGTGTGGTGGCGAGTCTTGGGAATGGCAAATGTTTACCAGTGGATCATGCTGTTGATGAAGATGATTATGATCGATTTCAAAGTGCATCTAAACTTGGCATTAGATTGGATTTCACCCCTTTTTTAGGCAAACAATTAGCCGATTGGAACTTGGCCCCCTTTTTAACAGGCATGTTTTTGGTGAGATTTCAATACTTTTTTTCAAGAAATCGTACATACAATCGTACTGTATAGCCGTACAATGCATAACTTACAGCATGAAACATACAGCTACCATCTGATGGCATAGGAATTACCCTATGTGGTATATCTCCGCCAACCACCGAAAGATGTACAATTTCCATCGTTGGTAAATGAATAGTAGAAAAGAAATAGAGTGAATTTGTGCTTTTAACACACACAAGTAATCAATCAATAAGCAATATCAAAATTAATCCTTTAGCAAGTCAAATCATTGATCCATTTAATCGTAATCATCGTAATCATATATGTATAAGATATCAAGACATAAGTGTAGAAAGAAATAGAAAGAAATGACCATCGATTCCTTATCGACTTTCATTCATATATACTGCAGACAAAACAATATCGCGATTCAATTATACCGCTAGCGCCATCTATCGAAAGTAATTTATAACAATAGAAACCTGATTTTTTAGGTAAGCAATATTTAATTAAGTTATACAGTGTGCATTATGTATACATGACAATATTTTATATCCCTTATACATATATATCAGTTCTTAAGAAGCGCCCCACAATTTTTTCACAATAATATTAATTTAAAAATAAATTAACAAACAATAAATGGTATTTTTGTGAAAAAAAGCGTGATGAGCTTCATATATTACTTCTTGAGAAGCGCCCCACGCTTTTTTTTCAATAATACCATTTATTGTTTATTTTAAACAATTTAAATTAAATTGATTTCCAAGGTTGTAAAGGTTAAATTAGTTTCCACGCGGTTTCTTTCATCATTGGAGCGTGGTTTTTAGTTTTTTTTAAACTATATTTATTTTTTATTTTTTAGTTTCATTTATCACCGATTGATAGATGTACTCATATTATTAATTATTAATATTTCATTATTATGTATTTTATTGTGCTGAGCTGAGCGCCTATATAAAGGTTTTGATTACCTGTCAGTGAGTCAGTGCAAAAATTAGCTATTTTCACAGGGTCATATTTCAGGATCTACTGAAGCTTTATCTATGAAATTTGGCATACTGCTTTAGGACTAGTATATGATTACGTAGGTACAATTTTATCTCTGTACTTGCAATAGACACTGAGCTACAGGGGGTCAAAAGTGGGTCGAATTTATTAAAAATTCGATATTTAGAATTGAGGCAACTCACGCTTGACCGATTTCTTAAATTTATTAATTTTTTGTTAATCTACATATAACACACTACCTGTGTACCAAATTTCATAATGCTAAAACAATGGGAAGTAGCCTAGAGGTTTTGATTACCTGTCAGTGAGTCAGTGCCAAAATTAGCTATTTTCACAGGGTCATATTTCAGGATCTACTGAAGCTTTATCTATGAAATTTGGCATACTGCTTTCGTTCTAGTGTATGATTACGTAGGTAAAATTTTATCTCTGTACTTGCAATAGGCACTGAGCTACAGGGGGGTCTAAAGTGGGTCGAAACGGTTCGTGTAAATATAGTGCACGGCATGCGCCGGCCTGTGGAACTTGGCCGGCGCACTACCGTGCGCTTAGATTGATACTAAGGTTTTTCATTTATCTTATCCACTCGAACATTCTTTATATTGTTACAAATATTTCCTGTATTATTTGTAGGCCTGAAAAAATTCTATGAACCATAAAACTTTTAAATCGAAATTTTTTATTTACCTCATTTTTATCCTTATCGATAGAGCCAACTTTAATAGCCAACATAAAACTTACAACATATAATTAGGTACTCGCTACTCTTGAAATTACAGAAGAAATAGTTATATTTAAATTAAATGGGTTTATGAACATTTATGCAAATGTATTAATTTTTTAATCTTTATTGGATTTTGTTTGTATTATATTTTACTAATCAAAAATCTGTAAATTATGCTTATTTGTAATGTTTAAAAGCCACGAATCAAAACCGTCAAAATGAAGTTAGACAAGAAAAAAAAAGTCCCTTAGAGCTCGACGATTTGGAACTGTTTTGCTTTACCTATATTGGGATATTAAATAAATTGTCAAGTTAATATTTAAGTAATAAAAATACTGTCTGTTCATAAATTGCAATAATGGATCTTCACAGGCCGCTAGACGGAAATAAGGTTTGGTTATATTTTTTTGCCGGATTTCATCGAACTCCTACTAATAACCAGCTGTTTTCCGAATTATATATCATATAATGTGATAAATAAACCAATTAATGCGTTAATAAATGTGCGAACAGTACTTACAATTTAATTAAGTTACAAAAAAAATTATATGAGCATAATACCTAAATTTAATTTAAATAATTTCAGAGCTACAATGATATGACGCCCGAGGAAAAGTTGAGGTAATTAAAGCAACAAGAGAATTCTAAATAATTTTTTTGTTTAAATGTATTAAAAAATATATTTTTTTCTAGATACGACCACATGCAGATGCATGAGAAACACAAAGGTCATGAATCCATGCACTTGACCATGATATTTGTTTTAATAGGATCTCTGGTTGTCGCTCAGATTATAGTTTCACAATGGAAACAGAGACACTATAGGTCGTACTCAGTAAGTTATACATTCAATTCTTCTTCAATATACAATTGGAATCCTATATAATACTATTTATATATGAAGAAAATCTTCATGATGATTTTCTTACTTACTTTCGCTGTTTATTACTTCTAGGTGTTCACAATGGTAGCGATGTGGTCTATACCTGTGATCCTAAGTCTGAAGGAAGGTTGGATAAGGTTTATAATGTTCTGGTTGATATTTACTTCCTGTACTGGCCTCGTGATATGGAAGTCCTCGCATAAACCCATGTCGGCCTCCACACCAAGGTGAAACCATGATTTATATATGTTTTCATATTAATCTTCAGAGATATTTACTTGTTTACAAATATGTGGTTCTGGACCACTAAAATGCTGCTTTAGTCATATTATTATATGAGAATATAATTTTCATTATTATTAATATATATAAATATAGTCTAAGATTTTCATGTGTGCACATTTTAATGTTATTAAGTTTTTTGAACTATGCCCGTGATCATATAAAGGCACCAAAATGTCAAGATTATGTACATATAGAATAATAAAAAAAATGTGTAGTAACCAGTAAACTAAGTAAATTTAAATATTCTTGGGTCTGATTTTTAATGGATTTGAATTTTTGATTATATTATTGCTGTATGGTTTTACAAATGATATCAGTTTTTCTTTACATCTTTACATGAAATTGCTTTATGATAGAAGTGAATTATAGATTGTTATGATATCAATCAACTATAGATAACAAGAAACAAAGTTGATAATAATGTTGTGATATTTTTTTTTCTATTGACGCATACTTTTGCTATTTATTTGCAAGATTATACTTCTATTTCATACTATCTATATATAAAAGAAAGTTGTGTTAGTTAAACTATTAATAACTCAAGAACGGCTGTAGGGATATGGTTGAAAACTAGTGGAGAGATAGCTTAGAACCAGGAGATAGACATAGGATATTTAATTCTGTTTGATTAAAAAAGAAAAAAAACTTAAAAAAATTCCAATGGAATTTATAAATTTTTTTTGTTATACATATATTAGTAATGCCTTAATCAACGCCTAAAAAGTCGCGAGCAAAAACTAGTTCTTCATAATTTGTGCTACATTATAAACTGTAAATTGCCATTATAACATAGTTTTGTTTTAATTTTCAGATTGGTGTACAAATGGTTCTATTTCCTATACAAAGCAAGTTGTTGTGTGGGTGTTTTTGGGTATATAGTCATGATATTAACATTGATGAGTGTTAATACATTTTTCGGTTCAAAACCTCAAGCATGGCTGGACTTGGCACTGATGTGTTTGTTCTATGGACTTTACTTTGGCACTTTAGGCAGAGATGTCGCAGATTACTGCTCCGATAAAATGGCTACTTCAATAGGGGTAAGTATTAATAATTAATGATAATAATAAATATATTTTTTTAATACATACTGTTTCAAAATTAGGAATGATTGTCTTTTCTGAGAATTAATAGTTTATGTGTTCTCTTCTTAATAGTATCCATAGTGAAATATTATAAAGCTTATTCTCAAGTACCTTTCCAGTACATAATTTTTAAAATGAAAAGAATAATTTTTATTTAAACCAATTAAAGTTTAACACTTAAAAATACTATTATAAGTTTTTGCCGAAATTTTACTGTGAATTATCAGACAGAGATATGTTTAAATTTTGAAAATAATATTCTTATGCTTCTATTTTATCACATATATTTAAGTAAGGTAATGGAATTAGTACTATGGCTCCTTAATTCGTTAATTTATTCAGTAGTATAGTAAAAATTTTAATTGTATGGATTTCACTAACAAAAAATTCTTAAATTAATTATTATTAGTTTTAAGATAATATAAGTGTTCTGAACTCTGTTTCATATTAATATCAACCATGCTATTTCAATAAATGAATATCTTTTATCATATAAATATCACATAACTCATATGATTATAATAGAATGAATATATTGTAAGCAAAATTGTCGTGTTTACATTTTTTATCTTGTTTGGTTGGACTTAATATGTTTTATTGTTTGTTTTCCAGTATTACACAAGAGAGGGTATGCCAACACGTCATCTAGAAAGCAATGTTTGTGCTGTTTGTGGGAATGAGTTGTTAGTGTCTGAACATGAGGAAGGAGTTATTGGTTAGTATTACTAAACATGCAATTATATACTTACTAGCTTTCCGCCCGCAGCTTCGCCCGCTTGGAGTTAGGTTACATCGCGTTTCCAAGAGAACCTTTCAAAAGTCTGGGATAAAAACTATCCTATGTTCTTTCTCAAGGTCAATTCTATCTCTGTACTAAATTTCATTAAAATCAGTTCAGTGGTTTAGGCGTGAAAGCGTAACAAACAGACAGAGTTACTTTCGCATTTATAATATTAGTAGGGATATAAAAAAAAAAAGTATTGTATTAGGTTTTATATGATCCTATAAATGCACAAAGGAAATTCTTACAAAAATTCAGGTCTCTCGTCCATTATATATTTTTTCCTTATATGTGTAGTTTCTTATTGATAATACATATCAATTGTTTGGTAGAGAAATGCAGGTTTATGTTGGCAGTTCTAGTTTTATTGAAAAACTAATTTGATATCAACTTTACGTATCAATTGGCAATAAATGTACAAAATAAACGAAAAATAAACGAAACTAATATTTTCGGATTACTACGCGTTATTTTATTATTTTAAACTACATACTTCCGATGTTTCGTTTACGTTGCAGCAACCTTGATGACGGGCACACGAGATGTAACCTTTTGCTCTTTTGGTTGCTGCAAAGTAACCGAAACGTCGGGAGTATGTTGTTTTATAAAGATAGATGAGTCGAAACCTCTCATTAACTCATGGATTCACCGTGCAAGTGCCAGGTCCATTGTACAAACCAATACCCTCCAATAACTCCTAGTAATCTGAAGACATTAGTTTGGTTCATACTAAATTTTCTCCTGTGTTATGTTTATAGAGAACACATACAAGCTCCCATGTTCCCACGTGTTTCACGAGTTCTGTATCCGCGGCTGGTGTATAGTCGGCAAGAAACAAACGTGTCCGTACTGCAAGGAAAAGGTGGACCTCAAAATGATGTTCACAAACCCGTATCCTTTACACAAAACATACAATCCTCTATTATATTGAATTATAAATAGATATAAAAAACGGTGCCTTTATGAATTAACTAAAGTGTATTTGCGAGTGTAATTCAGTGAAGCCCTAGTGCCATCTAGCGAATAAATAACAAGAAAATAATGAAAGGAATATATTATGAGATCACGTTTTTTGAAATTTGTCATACAATTACAGTATATTTCTTTTTTTGGTTTCGATGTTGTTTTGTCATTATCGTAGTGGTTAAAATACGAGATATTGGGTTTTTAAGACATTTTGAAGAAATATTTTTTTTTTGTTTAGAAATTTTAGTGTAGGCATATTTTCTGGATATAATTATTTTTTATTTCAAAACTATAAAAGACAGGATAATAGTTTGATTTCTAAATAATACGTAGTTAAAAAAATCTGCGTTAGTTTTTAACAAGTTTAACGTTTATCATTTGATATGTTACACTGCATTCTGAATATGTCGATTCTACATAGATTTTTTTAAGCAAATTATTCCAAAACTCTTATAAATAAAGTATAACTAGGTACTATACAGGGTGACTGGTGAATTACTATCAATATTTAAGGAGAATACTCGGTACATGATTCTCATTCGAATTATGTAAAAAAAATAGGTACTTAATTTTTGATCAAATTTCCGTATAAATAAATAAAGTGTGGACACGTTCCAAGTGTTCCAAGTGTGGACGTGTGCGGCGGCGTGCTGATACAACAAAACGCCGCCGCACGCGCGCGCGTGTGTGTGTGTGTGTGTGTGTGTATACCTAATCTGTAGGGTGTTCACACGATGCGTAATTAATTACATAACTTTTGGTTAACTTTACTTAGAAGTTTATTAATATTTATGTTATATTAATTTTTATTTTGTCATATATGATCGTCAAATATCACGTCCTTAAGTATCGATAGTAATTCACCAGTCACCCTGTATATGAATAAATACTGAAAGCATCACCTTTAGATACGTAATTTAATACTAAAATACTCATTTCATACTAAATCCTTAACTACCTTCAAGATGGGATCGGCCTCAGTTATTATTCGGTCAGCTATTGGATTGGATCCGTTGGGTCGTGGCCTGGCAGCCATTGGTGTTGTTCTTCGCTCAAGCTGTTAACTGGTTACTAGGACTGGAGTAATGAACTTGAAGGATTATTAGTGCAATACAGGAACAAAGGTCAAGATAAACTGGTTAATAACTGGTTTAAACCGGTTTGTACCAGTTATCAAATTAAATAGTGTATGCAAAATCACTGATAGGGCACCTGCGGACTATAAAATTCTATTTGGTCTAAATATTGGGTAAATACTTTAAAAATATATAAACTCTTTGTAAATTAGTATTTAGTCTGCGGGGTACCTTATAATAAAATTAATGTCCAATAGTTATATTGTTTTTATTCCTATTAATGGGTACCATTCATAAATTAATAGTTAATTTTATGTAGTATTTAATTTTTGTATTTCCTCTGCTAGTCTCCAAGCAATATAATTTAATATTGCTGTAAAATAAATGTTCCACAGAAGTATTGAGGTCTTGTTCTTATGAACTGATTCTTAAATTCTTCAAACTGTAAATATGGTACGAATGTATGAAATTAAATTAATATATTATGACATTGCTCTGTTTAATAACCGGGAAGAAAGTATTGTAAATATAATTTAATTAATTATATGTATAAGCTGAAATTATTGTCAAAAAAATATTTTTTATTTGTATAATGATGCAGTACACTAAATATTTTTAAGTACATACATGTGTGATCAAAGTGTGTTATGGGCTTCAGTATTTATTTTTGACTGTAATATACACATATATATGGATATATATTATATTATGTATTTGAATGTACATGTTAAGTTTTCAGTCATTAATAGGTTATTTGACAGAGTCTTTGTGGTCCATTCTGTGGCCTATAGTAGGTTGACGGGCTCATTATTGTTATAATTGAATAATTATATAATAATGATAATAATATTTAGATAAGTTAAAACTATTTGTACAATTTACATCTATATATGTTCCATATATGACCAAAGTCATTTAATATTAAATATTTATTGAAATATTTCATAATTTGATTCTAAATTTCTCCAAAAATAAGTAGCTGCCTAATTAATTGTAATTTCTTTTCAATTCATATATTATGTAGAAACCTTTAAATCTGGACTCGTGTGGTTACAATCTATTGTTATTCTGTTCCACAGTTAATATTGAATGTATTATAAATTATTATATGTGTGAAATAAATCAAATGTACCTATTTTGTACATAATAAAGTCGGCTCGATATATTCTTTATGGCTTTTTCTTTTATTTTTATATACCTAAATTATACGTTTCTAATACATAGTTTAATATATGAAATTTATTATTAACATGATGATAAACAGACAAAATAATGCATTTGACTGAAATTATATTGATTAAAATTTAATTGAAATTATATTGATTAAAATTAAATTAAAAACTGCAACCCATAGTTAGAACCTTTTAACCTGTTTTAGAAGCAATCATGTTTTAGGTGTTGCAGACTTTATCATAAAAATTATTCTCAAAGGTACTGCATTCAATATCCATAACTGCCGTACTTAACACTTACTATATCTTTGAACTAACCAAATGTTTAACCTATTTTAATTATGAGAGCATTACTGCTTGCCATACAACTATTTGTTACTAGCAAATTAGCAACACTATATTCCACCTCTCAGAACAGCTTTTTATAGTAGTAATGTCAAAATATGTATGATTAAAGGAGATGATTTTAATGAATGTTTGTCCTATTTGGAAAAGAGAATATAAGTAGGGAATTCAAAGTTCTGCGAATGGAATTTGGAATCTAGAAAACTGATTTTAATTCGTAGTTATTTTAAAAGGGTTCGTAATCAGACATCTGATTTAGTTAAGTATTGTATGTTTTTGCCAGTCCAGTCTTACAAATAACAAAATTTAATTTAGTGAAACAATATTTTTACTTTAGAAAAATGTACAGAATGACTTTGAGAAGGAGACACTACGACAAGAAGTATTAAAATGAGCATAAAACATCTAAATCTCAACTGCTTTTGAAACGAATAAATAATTGAAATGCGTTAGGAAAATTCAAGTTAGTGGTTGAAAGTTTTGGCTACAAGAGAGAAAATTATAGGTGAAATCGTTATATAGCGTGTATATAGGTACCATATAGAGTCATCACTATTTCCAAGATCTATGAGTTATATGGCCAGTTCTCTTGAAAATATTTTGGATTTCATAAATGTTCTTTCCAATCCTATCTTTCTTACTGTCTCTAATCTTTGTCCTAATACGAGAATAATAATTAGTCTTTTTTCTACTTAGAAGTCGTTAAAATATGTTATCTAATTCTTACTCTGCCAGGATCCCTTTGCAAGGGAGGTCCTCCCTTTTGGTAGCTCGCCAATTGTGTCCAATTTGATCACTGTACGATGTTGCCTTTATTGTCCACCACTGATATTATAATTTTGTCACGTTAGCCTCACATAACTATTTCAGTTATTAGGCATTCAAAAGCGAATCAAACAACAGTTACCATTTTAACTATTTTCATTATATTTTAACTTTACGTATGTCTGTCTGGCAGCTGTAGGATAAACACGGTAAGAATCAAATCCACAAGGCCTTTCAAGACTTACAAGTAGGTACATTACTTTTAAAAACTTCTAGAAATTTGAAGTTTCTAGAAAGGGATTATAAAATTGAGTTGGGGAAGAGGTGGTAGATATATAATTATCTTATTTGATAGATCCAATCGTGATAGATCCAATCGTGATATCGTAGGCAGGGTATTTACTTGGTATGAGAGGTTTACATAATTACATACGTTGAAACTTTATTAAAATTCGTGAGAAACAGTTTGCTTAGCGTCTAATCCCTTACATTTTAATATCTTTATTTTGGGTTTTGGTGTTTGAAATTATTGTTTTTATTTTATTTATATTTGGCCCAGTTTTAAAAAGTATAGTTTAAGAAAAATAGAGGCCAAAAACTTTTTTGTTGTTTTAAGCTTTTTATATTTTTCTAAAATCTTTGTTATGTCTATTTATATTCTAAATTCCAAATGTTGTCAAAAAACATTCATAGCAAAATTCATGTACACGTTTAAAATAATGTAGTGAAAAACTGTTTCAAATAAAATTTTTGTGTCTCATTTAATATATTATTAACAAAAAATAAAACAAGATGATGAATTATTCATTTCGCTATTACAACCACATACGTCAGTTTAATTCCGGAGTATTAGCTTTCACCAATAAGAGCAATATAGGTAAGAAAATTTTAAAAATAACGGCATAAATTCCCTATATTAAATATTGTATCAAAGAATCTGAACGATTAAATTATTTAGGCAATTCGAGAAATTACGCAAAAGACAAAGGAGGTTGTAAAGAGACTCCTCAACACGAGGGCAAAAGGGTTGAGTCGTGGCCGAAACCGGACCCCCCACCACCTGCCTGGCGCTGCGAGTGTCCTTGGGAACCGCAGCCACCCAACTATGACCCCTACAGGATCAAAGTACCCGATATAGCGGTCCCACCATTACCACCCAGCAATGCTAAGGTAAAAGAAATTCTCTGTCTCAAAAGCAATGTAGTTTTTTTTTGTACACAGTTATTATTTAATACGCTATAAGTTTGAAAGAGTTTTTACAAGTGCGTTAGACGAAATCAGAGCCCGTCGTTAAATTAAATATCTAATGAAACCCAGCTTGTGCTTTGTTCATCAGTGGACGGGTTTGGTGTTGATGACCCAGAGTGGACAGGAAGGTCAAGGTTACCCAAACCAACAGCATCACGGACAGTATACACCCTACGGTCAACAGTACGGGCAGTCTGGTCAAGAAGAAGCTGAGAGGGAGGAAGAGTCTCAAGGGTTCTTTGGCTACTTAAAAAGCTTATTCGGTCGTGGTAAAAAGGGAAAAGGGGAAGGAGAAGGAGAAGCCTCAATGGTCGGTCAAAAAATATATTTAACCCTTGATTTGATGTCTCGGTAAGAAGATTCCTTTTTTACATTCCAACGCCGAAACAAATCTATCGAGGAGCCGGACTAGAGCTGCACCGATTGAACTATTTCGTCCAACGCACTTAGGATCTAAATTATAACATATCTATATAATTGTTCTTTGACAGGAAACTCATAATGAAGTCGGAAAAGGATTCTTTCAAAATAATAATTCAAACAGTGGATGTTGCCTAAACAATATGCAGGATCTTTTTCAAAATTCACCAATAGTACATCCCGATTATTGGAAAGATAAACCAGAGAAAAGGGCTACACCACCCCAATTTGAAGTACAAGATCCATTGCCAAAACTTGGCTATCATGGGAAATATAAGTACATGTACGCCTTCCATGAACCTTGGAAACCTCTCGATAGACTTTCATTACTCGCCCAAGCTGAGAAAGAAGAAACACAAAAGACTGAAGAATCTTTAATAACTGGAAATAGTGATAAACAAATTGTATAACGGGCTCTGATTTAATGATTTACGAATTTGCACAAATTTATAAGATTTTAGAAATAAACAAGATTATTAAAAATAGTTTGCTTTATTTATAGCGTATATTTACCATTTTTTAGTTTTTGGAATAAATATACCCTTTTAAAGTAAAAATAGAAAACTAGATACTAAAGTTGCTATGATATCCATGTCTTAAACTTTCAAATGTTAAGAAAAATGTAGACGTTAGACGTTAGAAATAAACGACTATATGGAACTTGCATGCAGTATCGAACTGGTTTGCAGATATATGTTATATAATAGAAATAAAACGTTAAATTACCAAGTTTAAGGGTATAATTTGTACCAATCATAAGGGGATACAGGTGTAAGTTACATATTTCAGCCCATGATAGACTGTGCCCGCACCAAAGGCCCTTGTTCCGTGAAGCCTGTCCCAGATCCTCCACCTTGCCCTCCCCCCCCGCCGCCTCCCTTTCCATGGATCTATGTCTGGTCTTCTTTGACGTTCCTAGGAATAATGGGCCTGGTATGTATCGATTTATCTCTTTAAATAAAGTCTGATATTTGTTCAATAAAGTTTTAAGTACGTACGTACCCTAGGGGCGCTTCAAGCCTCTTTGTAATACGCCGGTATTAATACTAACCCACTCTTTTGGTGACGTTGTTAAATTCGCAGGGCCAACAGTAATATTCCGTACAAAAACAGTTTCAACATAATATTTTATGTTTAAAATAATAATTAATTTAGTGTGTACTATCCGTATGTTATCTATTCTGAATGGGACTAAGGCCTCGTACCATAAGTCCTATATTCAATTACTTGATGCTGAGACGTAGTTTCTGAGATATCTTAAGACTTCCTAGAATATGTCTAATGGAAGATTGAAGCACAGATCTTAATCGCCTGCCTACATGAAAGCCTACAAGACTCACCACTTTAAGCTATAAGATCTTTGAATTTGTTTTGTTGTACCTAAGACTGTTGCTAGAACAATTCAATGAAATATTGAATACTAAGCCTTACATTGTTGTTATATTAATGTAAGAAGATCATTTAAAATAATATTTTATACTTTGAGCCTTATGTCAAAGTAAAGATTTTAATAAGATTAGTTTTAAGTAATATAACCATAAGAAGTCCTCTAACTTACTACAAGAATATTCTCTCATCCAAAGTGAAATTAACATTTAAATGGAAAATTCAAAAGTTATTGAGATAAAAATAAAATCAATTAATTCTTTACAGTTATACAAACTATACCTTTGGAAGCAATTGCAAGAGAAGCTTTCCAAAAATGTTGTTAAATGTACGTATTCTTTATTAATATTTGCATCTCAAGTAACTTAGTTTAATTTCTTTTGTAAGATTGTAGTTAATGTAATAAATATTAGATGATTACTCCTAAAATTTAAGAAAGAAACTTATCATAGGGCGCCCAAGACGTAAAATTAAGCGGCCATACCACTGTAGAGACTTGCCTGCTTGTGTGCAGTATCTAATAATAGGCGGCGGAGCGGCGGCTTGGGCAGCCCACCGAGCTATCTTGGAGCACGATGAAACTGCCAAGGTTCACAAGTCTATGAACAGTTGTATTTTAATCTATAATTGTATAGGATAAGTCCTAACCATCTATTATTACAGATATTCTTCATAACAAGAGAAGACTGCTTACCGTACAAGCGGCCGCCGATGTCTAAACATATGTGGTGGAACGCGGATCCGCCCGATATGAAGAAATTGAATTATGTCGAAGATTTTAGAAGGCACTCGTACGTTATTTTATGTATTCATACATTAAAATCATATTTTGTGTGTCAGACTAGTAAGACTACTGTTAAAACGGCAAATAATGTCAGAAGAGTTTATAACTTTTAAAATCATTAAATAAATTATAAATAAAGAGCACAAAAATTATATGGGTAAATAACTGAAGCTAAAAACAAGTTATTTTAAAGAGATCTAAGACTTTCGCGAGTACTCATTTCAATGAAACTAATTCGGCTTTCTAGGTGTATTTTTTTATTTTAAAAAACTATATACTACTGTCGGATATTTTTCATAAACCGTGATCACGGGCCGACGAGATGTGAATGTCTGTCAGTTGGTCCTCTTATTTATCATAAATAATATTAGTATATAGTTTATCAAAATAATAAAATACGCGTAGTAATCTGAATAATATTAATATCATTTAAGTTATTGTAGAAATAATAAAATATTTTTAATTCTTCTAAGGATGTATTTCGCTGACTGCGAACATTTCATGGATCCTATAAAGTTTTATCGGAAGAAGAAAGGTCCAGCGGTTTCTCTCGCGACTGGCTGGTGCGTGCTCCGAATAGATGCTGATGATCACGTTGTTTGGGTTAAGACTATGTGCGGCGAACAACCGATATACTATGAGAGATGTTTGTTGGCTCCAGGTATGATAAAGCTTTGAACAAAGTTCTCTTCATGATATTTAATAAATTATTCTTCATTTTATTAATCTTAATTACGGATGAAAGTAAGTTACTATAAGACAATTTGTCCGAAACATATTTTTGAACTATAAATAACTTATTCCCTTATGATATAATCAAACATAAAAGTTGTTTCGTTCGATGAGTGAGAGAGCCGGTTGAACTTTTCCTTTTCCCATCCTTTCTTACGCTCCTTTTTCCTACCCTTTCCTCTCACTCTCCCATCACTCTCACCATTTCATCGAGCTGTGCAACGTATTTGCCATGCAGATGAACACCTGAAACATAATAGATATTACAGATATCTATGAGCGATGATGAGTTCCTTCCATTAGGTTGGCCGTCTGCTCCTTTATCGCTTAAAAAAAGAAGTTTCTTTTTATAATATGGACAGTCATACATTTTATGATTTATATTAATTAATATCGATATGGAATTGCAGGAGCGAAGGCAAAAACTTTGTCTATCTTCAAGTCGGCTCCCAAGGAGGTTCGCGATCGAGTAACAACACTTCACACGATTCGTGACTTGGAGATAGCTTACAGGAAGGTGAAGTCATCCAAGCATGTTACAATCATTGGAGGAGGACTGCTTGGAACTGAGCTGGCCTGGTATCTCGGAAGAATGAGTAAGGCCATATTAATAATTAAATTAATATAAAACTGAATAGTTTGCTAGGTTTATTTTGGAGGAACTTAATAATTTTAGGAACTAATCATATTATGCCATTCTGTTACGACCGACAGTAATATTAATAAATAATGGAATAAGAATGAAAACTCTTTAAGCGACTTATTCCTTTAAGGAAATTCCGTTGTATGCAGTGTTTAAATTTAAGTAACTCCTTTATTTTGATAAAAGCGTGTTAATTAATGCGTGACTCAATATAAATGATATTTTCAAATATACGCAACAAGAATGAAGCTGACAATGGACGGAGATTATATCTAAAAGGGTTTTGTTTTATATACTATGTGATTAAAAAGTACTTTAAAAAATATAGTTAGGTACCTCTTATACATAAATACTTTCAATGTTCTTTTAACTTATACATCTAATAGTGATATACATTTTTATATTTACAAGTATTTTTTAATTTCGTAACCATATTGAAGAGATAATTAAAGCGTGGCATAACATTTCAATTTGACTCTTTCGACGTTGAAAAGTGGATTGACAATGATTCCCAATCAACAGATAAGGTAGTGGAAAGGCCTGATGACGAAGAACCAATTCAATTCGTTCACGTCATAAAGGATAAGGGACTGCTAGCGGGCATCCTGCCGGAGTACTTGGGAGAGTGGGCGGTGGAGAAGATCAAGTGCGAAGGAGTCACTGTTATGCCCAAAAGTATTAGATTATTATACTTTCATATAACAAAAGATAGTGTATCAGAATTTGTTTCCTGGTTCGATTCCCGGGTGAATGAAAATCTTTTCACCCACATATTCATACTGTAAACCATTTGTCCGAGTATCATCTAGGGAAGAAAATATGTAGTATGATGATTAGTATAACCTATTTTAATATAGTATGTCTTCTAACAAACTTGCTTTCTAACGGTGTTGTGGGTTAGGTTCCAATATTAAGCTTTTCTTGATTTTTGGGCTTATCTTACTATATTTGAACGTATTGTTTATGACTGTTATGAATTTAATTTTGATATCACTAAACTATATTTGGTTCGTTTTGTAGCTCAAGTGTACGATGCCTTCCCATCTGAAGACGGCAGATTGCAGTTGACTTTATCAAACGGATCATCAATGGTTACGGACTATGTAAGATGTTTAAATTTACTAAATTAATAAAAATAAACTTTCAATCATTTGGGATTTAAAACGAGTATTAATAAAGAAAGTCTGTGGGTACACACTTGAATTTAATTCTTTAAATGACACTCTGAGGTGGTAGAGCCTAGCTGTAGTCAATTTACTACAGCTCGAACATGGGCTGGCTCGACCGGGGAAGTACCACCCTCTCACAGAAAATCGGCGTAAAGTAGTCTTCAAAGGCTGCGTTTCGTCCGGTGAGTGAGAGAGCCGGTTGCCCTTTCCCTTTTCCCAACCTTCCCTTTCCCTCCCTTTCCCACCTTTTCCTCCTCCTTTTCCCCAATCAAGGGCGGCAACACATCCACAAATCTACGTTGCGGATGTCCATGGGCGACGGTAAACTACCTACCATCAAGTAGGCCGTCTGCTCAGTTGCCCCCTTTTCCCATAAAAAAAAACTAATATTTTCGGATTACACATCTAGTCTGCCCGTTATCACGGTTACTACAAAGTAACCGAAACGTCGGGAGTATGAAGTTTTATTTTTAAAATAATGCGTAGTAATCCGGAAATATTAGTTTCATTTAAATGACTACCCTCGACAGTCTTAGATCTCATTAATTTTCTAAGTTTTTTTTGTAACGAGATTTAATGTAGGTTTTAGTTGCTATCGGCTCAGAGCCTCGTGAAGATTTGGCTGTTCCCTCGTTTCTTGAACTGGACCCTGTTAATGGAGGTTTTCTTGTCAACACTGAACTCGAGGCTCGAACACATTTATATATAGTAAGTGATGAATTTAAATGTTTTATAATGATGTAATAGTGGTGGCCTAGTGGTTAAAGGGTCCGCCTCTCGTTGCTGAGGGCGCGGGTTCAAACCTGGCAAGTACCAATGTGATTTTTCGGAGTCATATGTACTTTCTGAGAGCATTTAGACACCACTGACATACGGTGAAGGAAAACATCGTGAGGAAACCTGGACTTATAGTTTCACAATTATAAGTTTGAAATCACCAACCCGTCTTGAGCAAGCGTGGTGATTAATGCTCAAACCTTCTCCACGTGAGAAAGAGGCCTTGCTCAGCAGTGGGCGTTGATAGGCTGATGACGATGACGATGTAATAATTTTAAAGGTATTATCTATATATGAACATAGAACTAAAAGCTAACATTATTCGACCACTTCATTATCATCAAAAAACAAAAGTTGTAAAACTGATTGGCCTAATTAAGAATTTAATATGGTAATTTATTAGAATCATAATTTACATAAATTATAATATTTTGATGTTATATAAAGAGGTCAAATTAAAGATTTTTATACATTTATTAGTCTATAGTATATACACTGTATTGTGCCTTATATCCTGCACTTTTTATTATTGCCTGTTTCTGAACTATAGCGATTGCAATTAAGTATTGTTTGTTTCCGAATTTAATGGAGTTTAACAATCATGAATGATTTCTACAAGGCTGGTGACGCGGCAAGTTTCTACTCCCAATGGAAGGACACTCGTCTCAGGTTGACAAATTTCGGTAGCGCTGAGGAGCAAGGTCTGATAGCGGGCGCCAACATGACCGGCTATTGGACCCCTTGTAATATGGAGCCGCACTTTGAACTCAAGCTGGGAGAATCGCTACAAGTTGAGGTACACATACATATAAAAAAATAGCTTATTTTGTTACAGAAAATTAATATTCTATCCCTTAGGAGAGTATTCAGAGATTCGAAAGTAATATGAGTTATTTTAGTAGGATGTCCGATAAGTCAAAATAAAGTTTTTTTTAAGATATCGTTTGAAATAGATTGCCTTTAAATACCTACATAAAAGATGTAGATTTGATTTGAACACTTCTTTTAGTTTAATTGAAAAAGAGAGATGTATTCGATTTTAAACCATAACTAGCGTTGATCAGTCGTAATTTGTAAAATAATGATAGGAAAAGTGTAAGTATTTACAGAAGGCTTTATATAATGGATGAAAAAATCCAATAGCCATTACTTGAAAGCTATCTTGAACAGAGTAAAATTATTATCAGAAACAATTATCGTTATTAATGGATCGTTTTTAGTGAATAAAATATCTTAATACTTCAATATACGCATGAAGATAGTAAAATGTCTATCTGTTAAATCGTCAAAGGCATTATTCTTTCAATGAAATATTCCATAGTGATAGAATTATTGTTAACCCCTATTTACATACAATTCAAAGAAGTGAAGGGTCAAAGGGTTATTGCTATTATAATAGTTAGTGGAAGGTGATGAAAAATATATTTGAAACTTGTCTATGTATTTTTGTCACGTCGTATGTTTGAATGCCAAATTGGGAGCTATTATATAGTGACATATATTTTATATTCCTATTTTTACGATCTCTGTGGGAATGTTTCTATTCACTAGGACAAAAATATTCAGAATTATATACATGTGATTGTTCCGTCAATAAAAAATATAGGTGGGGTTATACTGAGAAGAAATGTTTGTATAATTTTTGGCAATAATTTTTTTAAATAAAAATGTGCATTACGATATATGCAAATATATGTTTATGTCTGATCAAAATATATAAACAGTTTATAAATTTGTTTTGTCTTTGTCTGTGCAAAGAATTAAGATAAACTGGTTGATTTCGACTTTTTCAACAATGTTTCATTCATTAATAGACTTTTTATAAGTGACATAATAAGATTTTTTTATAAAGATCAAGTATCGTAAAAATGAATCTTCGGAATTATATTGTAATTAAACACCACCAAACTAGTTTTGACAAAACTTTACAGTAATGTATCTAAGACTTTTCCCTCAACACAACACATACAAAATTCTAGTTTTTCATTTATAAGTCCTTGCATGAAACATATTTACTTTTGTGTATTAATGAAAAACTTTAAAACTTACGTATGATAAGTTGCAGTAAGGATAAACATAAGACATTGCATATAATTTTAGTATCTCGAAACTCGGTACAGTTACCATAAAAGTGAGGCTTTTGGTTAAAGCCTCGTGAAATATGTAGATTAAAGATGTCGCTGTCCGTTTATGCGTTAGCCTTTACATTGTTTTTTTTTACCTTATTATATATATTTATCACTCAAACCAATTCAAAACTTTGAGCTGACGAAGTCACTGTCAGAAACTAGAAGTTTATATATTAAATAGTTTATATATTTGTTATTTACTCAGGCTGTGGGTGAAGTTGGTGCCTGTATGCCAACTATCGGCATCTTCAAGCCATGTAATGAAGACGTCCAGCCACAGATCAAGTCTGGATCACAAGGAGATGGCGATCGACCTTGTTATAAGAAGTAAATGGCCTTTATAATGTTTTGTTTATTCATCCGTACTAATATTATGAATGCGAAAGTAACTCTGTATGTCTGTCTGTTACGCTTTCACGCCTAAACCACTGAACTGATTTTAATGAAATTTGATACAGAGATAGAGTTGACCTTAAGAAAGAACATAGGATAGTTTTTATCCCAGACTTTTGAAAGGTTCTCTTGGAAACGCGATATAACCGAACTCCACGCGGGCGAAGCTGCGGGCGGAAAGCTAGTAGAGTATATTCCCCAAAAAAACAGTTATCACTTCATACATATATCTATATTGGTTGTTAGTTTGATTTTCGGTTGCTTTTTGGTTCTCATAGAAAAATTTGGATGTTATTTCACTAGATGCTGTTATCATTAGTAATCATTACTCTTTTTAGAAAAACATTCTTGGTAGAAAAGCGTACATTAATTTTATTATCTAACCTAATAAAATATTCATTAAAACGTCACATTTATAGTCATAAATTCAGGATTGTGGAATCATCAACCTTGTCCTTTTGCTGTTATCTTCTAAAGAGTAGTGCAAAGGTTTTTCTCGTTGAATTTTATTAACTAGCAAATGCTGAAGAAAAATTTACAAAACATTGTTTAAACTTTACTATCCTTATGATAAAATGCAGAAAAAAAGATAATACTACTTAAAAGTAATATATTCCAAGATTATGATTAGTAATAGAAATGAAGTTGTAGACACTTTATTTAGTCAGCTAGTTAATTATATTCTACAAAAACCCTTTGCAAGACTCTTTTCAAGTTTGCGGCCGAAGGAATATTTTTGACCCTTGAAATTAGAACTTAAACTAATACTGAACTTCTATCCTTATACAACGGAACTATTAAAATTATTCTTATAAAATACTATACGGCTTCAAAAGCCATTCTAATGGACCAATTGGATTGAGTACTTATATTTACATAATTACTAACTGTATGATTTTTAAGATCTAAGATTTTCACGAGTACTCATTTAAATGAAACTAATATTTTTCGTATTTTACTTCGCGTTTTATTTTTGATTTGAAAACTACATACTCCCGACGTTTCGGCTACTTTTCAGTAACCCTGATCACGGGCAGACGAGATGTGAGTGTCACATAAATAAAACGAGAAGTAAAATCCGAAAAATATTAGTTTCATTTGTATGATTTTTGTTTGAAGACATTCTTACTCGCCATGAAACAGAATTCTGTATGGAAATTAAATAACAAATCCTATAAGGTTACTTTGCATTTAATCCATATTTATTCTAGATCGGAAGAATACAAGAATAGGTACAAAAGAGGTATGCTGTTTTACTTGCGAGATGAGACGGTGGTAGGAATGATATTTTGGAACATGCCACCTGTAGATGATCGATACATGGCGGCCACTGAGGTGAGTACAGAACAATGGAAAAAGGGTAGCTATGAAAGTAATATAAGTTTTATAATACGAAATAATCATTGTTAGAGTAATTTGTGGTAATTTATCGAAATAATGTGCTGTTCAATGCTCTACAATTATCTCGGATGCATTAACTTATTTTAGATATACCACTACTATTTCTTATACCACCACCACCACTACTACTATGTATACCACTACTACTTAGATACATTTATCTTAGAAGTTTTAGTTCGAAATATATCACTGTTTTATGGTGATTACTTAACTAATATTATCTCAGCTTCTTCGAGCGCGCCCCCACTATAAAGAGATCAATGTGCTGGCTCACCTCATGGGCTTCGAAGAACTGAAGTGTGATTACCTCAGCGAGGAACTATTGAAAGAGGCTGGACCATGCATACAGAAGTAAAAACATAGAAATAGTTTAAACTAGTGCCTATAGTAATGATATTTAAGATTTTACTCGCACTCATTTAAAAGAAAGTAAGGTTTTTTGATACTACTACTTGTTTTTATTATTTTATGAACTACATACTCCCGACGTTTCGGTTCATCTGCTTCGGCTGCGCCAAAGGAACCGAAACGTGGGTGTTATGTAGATAAAATAATAATAATGTGTAGTATTATCCAAAAATATTAGTTTTATTTTAGTGCCAATAGTACTACATAAAAATTTGATTCAAGAATACCAAATAGCAATCGTATATACCACATAATTTTGTGTGTCTGTGCGTATAGGAGTGGACTTATATGAATGTCAAAGTCTATAACATGCATGACTTTAAATGGTCTATTTTATAATACTTGTTTCAATTGAGTTGAGAGTTTGGGCGTTAGTTTTTATAAGTAATTGGCAATCGTATTAATTTTTAGGTATATTAATTATAAAGATAACTAATGTGATCATAATATTTTACAGTCGCCGTTTCCCCTAAAGAAATGTAAAGGAATAAGAGCAGCGACCTACAGTACCGTTTGATGCAAGTTATAAAAATGTTGTTTGAAATTAACTTATGTATTAAATTTTTTGTAATCTGAGTGATTTTTTATTTGATAAATGATTTAAGAAGTATTTATGAAAAGTTATTACGTGCAATGTTACATGCTTTTCAGATTATATTCTCTAATTTATTTGAGAGCCTACATTTCAATAAATAAGAATGTAATAGAATAGATGCGAAAAATGGGAATTAACAAACGAAAAAACCATAAAAGAATGCTATTTAAAGCAGATTCAATAACACATATAAATTACCTTTATGATATATTTATTAGTTTTGTTTTGGATATTTTAGATATTATAATTAAACATTTACATTATAAGTGATTGGGACCAAAGGGGAGTTAATGTTCTTATTCTTAAACTAGTCGACATATATTTAGTGCTATTCAAGAAGTTCTTTAAGATTTCGTAACTGGCTGTATTTTTTTAATATTATGTTAAAAATATATATGTATCTCAAATTGGGTTTTTGAAAAAAAAAAGTATTGATTTTTTTAATGTATTTTAAAACTTTATTATTAATTATATTGATTTTTAATGCAAAAAACTTGAAAAATATTTTTTTTTTTATTAATTATAAGCAATTAAAAATTGATAAAATTCAAAAACAAATCACGTGACTGTAAACGCGCCACGATTGGTCACCATACTTGTGACGTCATAATGTTAAAGCAATTTCATAATGTAGTACAGTGTTTATGACTATTATCTTTGACTTGATGAAAATATCTCAAATTTATTAGTGAAAAACGATTTGAAAAGTTTATTTCCACTAACTATGTGTGATAAAGGATTTTTAAAAGCAAAATCGGATAATATTCCTGATGTTGATATATTTATGATAACTAATTTTTAAAAAAATGACGTTCGGTTTAATTCTGCTGAATTTCGAGGTACTAAGGCATCAAGGTAAGTCTGTTAAAAAATACTATTCTAAATGAAAATAAGTATTTATTCTCTATTAAATATAATTAATAATTATTTCATTAAATCATTATTAATAAAATGTTATTATAACATTATAAAAAAACAAAATAACATATACTTTAAAAATTTAAATGTAGTCTGATACAGAACCTAGAATGTTATAAAATTATGAAAATATCTATTAATTGAATTCCAATTATTAGACAAACATACATATAGATTTACTATTTAATCGCTTTGAACTATCAATTAATTTTTTTTAATGCTACGATTCTAAAGGTTATGATTTGGAGCCCAGGTAAAAAAATTAATTACTGAACTATACTTATTCCATTTATACACTTAGATAAATAATAATGAATAACAATATTATTATGAATACTTACACCGAAATGATCTTCACAACAAAAAAAAATTGATTTTGTTTTTGAATAATCTCGGTGCACTGCTTGAAACCATTTCTTTCGACGTTTTTCGTCTTGTGGAACATTTAAAAACATTTTTTCAGGAGTTGTTTTTGTAGTATTTGTACATAATGGTGCAAAACAAGAGCGATAACTTTTGAGTTTTGACATTTTTGATTATTTAACAATGCCAACAGAATTTACTAGATAAAAACTCAAAACACTGTACTAATTATTATATCTCTGTATGCTACAATGAGCAAAAACTAACATTGTGACGTCACACGCGCTCGGGTTTATTCGCGAGCTGTCGTCACATCTTCGGTACTGAATTTAAAATTTAATTTTTATTTTGAAATAACTTTTTAATTATTGCAAAAAAATAAAATAAAAATGGTTTTGTTATAAAACTTATATATGATCTTTCCATTTATCACAAAAAAAAAATTAATTCAAAAACCCAATTCTATTGGTCTACCAAACAATAATTTAAAACGAGAAACTTCAAGATTTTTTTAATAAGAGCTGACTTTCGGAAAATAATTTAAATGAAATTAGATCGTTAGAACAGAAGTTTACTGATTACTTCAAAATAAAGCGCGTTCTACGGCTTTATTCCGGTTTGCGTGAATCTTATTCGTTTAAGTTTCTGTAATGTAATCAAAGGAAGTCGTATATATAATTTTTAATGACGATATTAAGACGAGTATTATTATCTCACAACAAAATAAAAAGACACTATATAAAAGAGAAAAAGGGGTTAAGAAACTTGGAAATATCACTTAAAATATTGTAATGAAACTATTATTTTCGGATATACTATGCGGTTTATCTAGGCGGTTTCGGCTACTTTTCAGCAACCGTGATCAAGGGCAGACGAAGTGAATTCACATCTTGTCTGCCTAGTTTCATTTAATTGAATAAAACTCGCGAATGTCTTAGATCTCATTATCAATTGAAATACCAATATTAAAACACTACATATTAATCTAGCAGATTAATGTAAAATACTATTCATAATAACAAAATTATAATCCAAATTATTCTTATATGAAATAGAATTTCTTGTTTATTTAAACTTTAACGTGAAATGTCACGACTTATTCCAATTAAATATCTGATTAGACACGAGTTCTAAACAATATAAGTTATGTAAGTATTTATAAGTACAACTGTCGAAGAAATACTTAATTACCTAATAGCTTAATTACAGGAAGACGTATAGCACTCCGGAATCAATTAACAAATCTATATTAAAACTTGCCATTTAATTGTGCTGTTTATGGAAACCTTCGCCGCATTTCTTCGGAATGTAAAAAACAAAATAGCGGTATTAAATAATGGAATAAATTTACGAGGAATTACCCTTATTTACTGGTAACAAGATATTATCATTCTGTCAGTTACTCGTTAATTCAATACGTGAAAAATAGGCCTGTAATTATTTAAATATCAGTTTTATTTATAAATGATTAGAGTTCGATTTCAAAGAATTATTTTTTTATAAAATTATTTTAATTTTTTCCTTGTTTTATATGGGTACAATTATAAAGCAATTATGATTATACAATGAAAAGGTTTTGATAAATATGATTTCGTCCGAATAAAGTTAACTCGATTGGAAATTTATTTGAATAATGAAAAATTTAAAAAACATTTTGCGGCAAAAACATCCGCAAAATTATAAAGTATTTTGTTAAATTGTCAACAAACTAATTACAATTTCCAATTTGGAATTTCAAGTTAAACGATACTGATGTTATTTTAAAAACAGTTTTCATACAAGGAACTAGCGACCTTTGTAATATCTTCAGCAATATGAATTAGACACTAGTAACAATATTTAATGAGATAAATGGTTAAATATAACTTGCATTTTTAATTACACTACAATAAGTAGAAATTCTATTTAATTATAAATTGACGGCAAATTTGACATTCGTACTTATTCCATATTGTGCTAAATTATTAACGGAGAAAATTATATTTTACTATATAACAATTATTTTTAAGGAAACCTTTATTACTACGTGTAGTTTTTAGTCCTTTAGTTAAAGCAGTTTTACTACATTCAAATATATTTCTCAAATTATATAATAATTTTATCTAAAAACCTAAGAGGTCCCGCTTATACCAACCAACCATGTCGCGTTTTAAGAGAAGTATATTCTCTTTGTCTCCTTTAAGTATTAGTGGCCGAATCCACAAAAAACATTATATTTTAATAATATTTTAGTTTAAAAAATCTCTTTCTCTTGCTTCTGCAAAATGAATAGACTTTTCTTGACCACTATCAAACTGGCTGGCTCCTTTGAGATTGTTGACAAAGAATGAGCCGAACTATTTCTGTTAGGGATAGTTTAGATACGTAGTATGTCGAAACTTGTTAGTAAACATAGCCAGACAGTTTTAGTAACTTTCATAGACATGACATTTTTTTCATCAGTTCTGCAAGCACTCGTAAGCTTAAAAGATTCTGAAATAAAGTTATTTTTCTTCAATGATTTAGGAATTACCTCAACAATGTCACTTAAGTAAGTGGTGGCCTAGTGGTTAAAGGGCTCGCCTCTCGTTGCCGATGGCACGGGTTCGATCATGGGAAGTAACAATGTGATTTTCAGGGTAATATGTACTTTCTAAGAGTATTAAGACAGCACTGACAGACGGCGAAGGAAAACATCGTAAGGAAACCTGGACTTATAATTTCACAATTATAAGTTTGAAATCACCAACCCGTCTTAAGCAACCCTGGTGATTAATGCTCAAAAAATCTTCTCCATGAGAGAAAGAGGCCTTTGCTCAGCAGTAGGCTTTGATAGGCTAAACAAAGATGTCTCTTAGATTGAGCGTGCTTAAATTAACCTCTTAATGTGGATATTTATCATTCACCTCTTTAGTTTTTAAATTATATATGACATAATTCAATATTATGTGTGACTTTAACATTCCTCGTCTGTTTAAAAACTGTAATCGTTTGCATTGTGCTGTATACTAGAAGTAGTTAACCTCGACCATAGAAAGACAGGCAGACAGAACCGCTCAAATGATTTAATAGAGCTTGAAATGTTTACAACT